CCCCATTCTATCCAAGTTCATGTAGCTTCTAACTGCTAGGGGTGGTAGTTGTCCTACTTGCATCCGGCTATTCGCCTCTTCCTCCGCTTTGCACCAACATACTGAGTCTGGGGCTTGTCGCGTTGGACGTTCCCGTTTTTATGAGAGGCCCGCCAAGGGCGCCGCCACTGGCGGATTGGCGGGTGGGGGTAAAAAGGTGGAGTTTGAAAACGATTGGTAGAGACTGTACTCGAAGTGAACTGTAAGGTAGAGCAGAATAGTATTGAATCTTTGATTGACCGATATTGTGGCTGTGGGGTTGGAGGTGTATTTTTTTCCATATTTTCCAATACTCTGTGCCTGTTTTCTTTGTTTCTATTCTTACTTGCGTTTCGGAGGAGTCACCTTGTTGTTGGCGGAAGCGAAAGCGGGGGATACTTGAAGTTCTTGAGCCCCTTATGATTGTTTGAATTCCGAGTGATCTTTCTTGTTTCTAGTTATAAGTGGAAGTGTGGGAACACTACTAGGGATGCTGGGCTCACGCCAAAAGGAAAGAGGGGACTGTTGAGAGGACTACGGGTGATCCTTATCACCATGGAGGGAACCCCTCTGCTTTATGCCCTAGTAGTAACAATCCCTTCTAGACTCCCATGATAAACTCTCACGCGCCCATAAACTACAAAACACAACAACAACTCTGTGGCGCGATTGTAACCGTCGCTTCTGGATACAGGTCGTTCTACCCACGTTTAACGGGAAAGGACTAGGCAACCCCTCAAACTATCGGGATGAGCAGGGAGTCTTTAGCTCGGGAGCAGGGCTTAATCTCTAGCCGGGCCAATGATATCACGATAATTTGCTATTTACCCAGAATTTCGATCAGTCTATTTCTCCCATGCTCTAAACGGACTTCCGCCGGTTTGAGTAATGGCGTTTCCCTCAAAGGGATTCTGCACTTATTGGCCTAACGTAAATTCGGGCAGCACTCTGTTTGACAGCCGTGGGTTAATTCCAGGCTTACTGCGAGTATCATAATATGGCCCCCACATATTGTAAGCCAGGACCCCTTCCCCCGCTAAACACTGATCAGATCCCATCTCGATAGCTCGGGACATGGCGCTGGTGGGATTGGGCGTTAGAACGTCTTCCCCCCCAGACAAATTGCCGAGATTAGATAACTGATGAGATGGGAAGGCTAGCGGTAGAGCACGATAGGAAGGGTTATCATCTCTACCGTATTCGGATGCGCCTTATCAACAAAATTCGGGAAACCGGAATTATTACTCGATTGTTGTGTGGGGGGCGCTCCCATGTAGGATATCTGGTGACCGGGTCTACCTTGTTCACTCCTCCACAACTAGTGCCACCATACCGCCGTATTGCTAAACCATACGTTCTGGGTGTTTGCTTGAGGGGCTGATCGGAGATCGGCTTCAGGTTGAGAAACTAAGTGTCACTGCCGTTATGCGTTTCTCAATGTATCTTGTCCGTTGGAAGCGCCACCGCAAGGTCTCACAGCAGTCATTTAGAACTGTCAGTGATTACGGAAATTTCCTGTATCCCGTAAATTCATCGTGCGTCTTGGCCAGCCGAGGAATTGGGTCTGCTATTGATACTGCCCAGTCGGGTGTTACAAAATGGTCCACTTGCGACATCAGAAATTTCCTGAGCTGTTGACAAGATTCCCCGGCCGAGTAGGAAACATGCTCTGGGTATCAATCTTCACGTTCCATATGATAGACGGCTTACAACTGAAATTCATTTTTTAGGATAAATCTTTCAATTGCTTAAGGGCAGTATGCTGGGCACAGCCTCTTGATCACGGAACGAACTGAAGGCAGAAAACTAACAGGATAAATACCACAAACAGCTAATAACAAGGAAACCCCAATACGGCTCTTCAGTGCCCCGGTGTGAGTAAAATCCCTGGAAACTCCGGTTGCTAGGAGAGCAGTTGTGAGAATCGTGGGAGGTTGGGATTCATCTTCACCTGGAGATTCAAACAACTACTGGAGATGAAATTAGCGAGAACATTCATTAGATTTATCCCCTCTTCAGAGAGCTGGATATATCTGCCCCGGAGTTGAGATCTCTCGCTCTGGGGTCAATTCTTCCTCCGGCCAGCTCCAGCGTCCGGGGCCCAGGTCTGCACTTCACAACGTGATCAGGATGGTGAGAGACCGTTGCTGCAGCATCATAACGAGTTCGACCTCGCGTTCGTGGAACCCTCCTATAGAACCTCCCTAAATTCAAATACGAGTCTAAAGAAGCGAGAATTGGGTTTAGGCGTCGGAAATCGCTCAACAAACCGCAAAATGCAAGCGGTCTATCCCATCCTTTCCCTCGTAGCTTATTCAGGCTTGCCACCGTCAGTCCGCCGCGGTCCCACATGCGGCCCCCTCTCCGTAGATTTGAATACTGGATGGTCGGGGGGTTGGGAGAAGAGATGGGAGAAAGCCAAGGAGGAGTTAGTCATTATAGGAAGATAATGGAAGTGAAAGGGGTTGTTAAGGTGGAGGACCGGTCTGCGAGCGGATAAGTGGCGATCAGATAAGAGCATCGAGTGATATACGGTCTGTTTTAGGGTGAATGACAAAATGCTGCTTCGTTCGAAATTGCTTGTGATTTTCACCATGTATCCTATTATACAGCGGAATGCTTCTATTTATAGTTGCTCTCGGGCAATTATAGCGCTCAAGGAATTTCATTGTCTCCCATCCCATCATTTGTCGTATATTGCTGTTCTTGTTGCCTCTTTACTTCCCATGCCTTTCACGCCGTTGATTTTGCCTTTGCTCCCGGTTCCTCCCTCCCCCCTTTTTTTCTCTCTCCCGTTCGCTATCTGCTGCACGATATAATCTTGTTCTTACTCATGTGGTGGGCAATTGGGCTTCCTTTCTCATTGCCTAGCTAAACATACTAATCATTGTCACTCCCGACTTAATAATTTCACAAATAACGTGCAAAATAAATCAGCCCTGGATTCTGTCATTCCCGCACCCCCCCTTCCCCCGGTGCTGGCCGCCTACCTCCCAGCAAACCCCATCCCCCTTCCTTCATCTTCCCGAACACATTCCTCATTCACCATCTTCCATCATCCCCTAAGCCCAGCTCAATCTAAATTTCATGCTACTATCATACTAAAAAAACTGTTTAAAGTTACTTGTATAGTGAGGAAGGGGCGGGGATGGTTGGTGACTTCGCACATCATGTGCTCCGGTCATACATCCCTTTATTCAATCTGCCATATCGAGATAGTAGCCCGCCGGACACTATGACTTATGGGTCCAATTGCGGTTGCTGCTATGGTTGCTGATAGTCGAATTGGTTTGAAGCGATCAGATTTTGAAGATCCTCGTACAGAATCACAGAGACACCACAGACAATCTACAGATGACTCCTAGAAATCCCCACATCCTTACACAGATATCATACCCCTCGCTGAAGGGAACCTTCACGACAGAGGGCAGTGTGCAAGAAACTAGAGCCTCCTCAAGCGAGTAAAGTTACTGGATGAACGGTAGGACTTCCGACAAATAACCAACTGTGAACCTCGATCTGTTACCGGTTAAAGTCATTTAAGATTTCGCTACAGGAATAGAGGGTGGCACTTGCGGGTTTCTCTAGTGGTCTATTAGGAGAGGGTGCCCGTGCCATTGCTCGACAAGGTATCATATCTGACGCGCCTTGGATGCAAAACTATCGCGGGTCATCATAAGTGCACTATGGGGGCGAGGAGGGTGAACAGGACAACTTATTGGCTATAGGAGTGGTTAACAGATATCCCGTGATGAAATGGTTAGTAGTAATCAATAACTCTACCTGCCTTCCATGACGGCCGAATGGTTGCAGGGCGTGCAACGAGTTCGTGGGAGAAGCAGGAGGGGGCAAGAGATTTACAAATGAGTTATAATATAATAATTATAAGTGCCCGCTGCAACTTGCTGGAGAGGGGATGAGTTTACATACAAACTTAGACAGGCAAGGAGTAATTTATTAGCCTTCAGTTGTGGCGCCAGATAGGGGTTTGCCGTGCCTGTCTCCTATCGAGGAAAGCAAACCTAAAGTTGGTCTAGAGTCGTCGGCACTAATGAGGACTTAACTGTTGTCGACAAAATACAATCTAGAACGGCGGCAGAGATACGTGAATGCAGTGGAAACTGCAAGCAGGGAAGAACGCGCCGGGCTACTTACCGGCTGAAAAGCAAAGACATGACTCTCGGGGCGCAACCGGCCTTGCAGCAGGAGCCTAGACTACCCACTACTATAGCTTCAAAAAAAGAAAGAAAAAATAAAACCAGCGCCCTCAGTAGATAGTGTAATCTGATATGAAGATTCGCATTATAGAAGTCCAGATTAACATCCATGCCCTCGGAACTCCTACAGTTGTTTTGATCGTGTTATATTGCACCTCTATTCTAGCACCCATAGGTGACATATGTAAGACAATAGAACAAAGAACAATATTTCATCAGTGTTATTAGTGCACTAACAAAAAACACAAAACAAGACATACCTCTACCAAGGCACCGGTACTCGAGTATTTGACCAAGCGAGTTAGACACAGAAGTGTATCATTTTGTTTGTCAATTGCGCTAAATCCCCACCGCAAAATTTTCGCCAAAATTACCACTCCGAAATACAGCACGAAAAAGTGAATATACAACGCACCGTGCCGCCGGGAACGCCTCCCCACCCTTCTGAACCCCCCCCCTCTCCTGACTGTTGGGTGCCGACCGAGATTTCCAGATCCCGCAATTTTTGCCGCCCTTCGCTTCTTCCTCCGACTCGCCTCCCAATCTAATACGTTAATCTGCCGGGGGTAATCTGGATTCCACATATTTTCTTCCAGTCTCTGGATTTTTAAATCCTGAACCGAGGTCCTCTACGTGCCATTCGCTAGTCTTGGTCTACCAGCACCTCTTTGTCAGAAAGTTTAGTGCGCTGTGGTATCTCCGAACCGCGCAAACCCCCTCGAACCTATAGAGTGTTTTCCTACAGGGTTCGTGAAAGCTCTGGGTGGTTCCAAATAGACATGCAGTACTATTAGAGTAGAGCCGTCTCTAGTTGGGAAATGAATTGTCACAAATACGTAGTTATAAATACGCAGGAGCAGAAGAGCAGGAGCAGAGCCCTATGGCGGGCAGCGGTCAACACGATACAGAAGGATTAGCAGCAATAAGTGACCCAATAAATACAAGAACAAGGGCAACCCACAACTCAATCCCCAACCAACTCCCACTCACCCCTTCCCCTTCTTCCCTTTCTTCCCCTCCTCCTGATCACTATCCTTCTGCTCCCAAACATCCCATACCCGCTCCGTAATGATCTGAGAAATACTCTTCCCCTCCTCCTCCTTAGGCCGAACATCCCTAACAACCTTCTCCCCCTTCCATCCACCAACCTTAGCCATCTCGCTATTAACCTCAACCGCCCTCCCTGTGCCCCTCCCTTCTAACTCCCCTTTCCCAAACTGCTCATACCGCTTAAACCCACGCCAGGGGTCGCGGCCATGCTGATCCGCAACTTCCCCGAGGCAGTAGATCCAGGAAGCACCAAGGCCGAAGGTGAAAAGATCCATCTTGCGCGGGGGGAGAAGGATCAGAGCCGGCGCTACAACGAGGACGCCCAGCGAGGCACGATAACGGAGGGCTGTGTAGCGGGCTTCATTGTCCTGGACGTCTTGTGGAGCTGGCGTAGGATTGACGGGTGGTAAGTTTTCGTTGGTTACGGCGGTGCGGGCTTCTTCGGTTTGCGTAGGCATTTCGTGCTTGCAATTGTGGGTGCTAGTTGGTTTGTCCCCGATCTCGTAGAAGTGCTGACGGAGCTCGGTGAGATGAGGGTAAGATGAGATGGAATTGAGACAACGAGAAGTATAATTAATCAGCGTTGGCACAGTAGCGCGCGAGTAGTGGGAATGAATGAATGAATGCACAGGCAAATCGCGATAAAATGCAGAGTGATGTCAGTATCCCGACAAGGATAATGACTAAGCTGGGTTAGGTTTCGCATAATTATTTTTCCGGTCCAACTACCTCTTGTTCCAAGTCCTAGGATATTAGGCCACACCTTTGTACTGGTACATCACTACCGCTCCAATAAAATCGGAATATCCCCTGCCTCTGCTTGCCCCTTTAGTAAAGGATTGTGAACCTGCACCCCATGATAGCGAGTCATTTTACTGTCAATTAGCCCCAGGTCTTGAATTATTATTTTATTTGTGCGGGATTGTCGTGAAGGTTGCCTTGTCAAGGGCTTCCTCTTTCTTTCGCCGCATATCTTCGGTGGGTGGTACAAGTAGTCTCTCTACCTCCCCTCGTCCATCCTCTACTTTCCCACCTCCTCCTCCTTCTTACCTCCCAACAAACTCTTCCACTGATATCTCTAAAAGCTCCCCCAACACACTTCTGTCCCAACAAACAAAGACAATCACCATGGAACAAGAAGCTACTGCTAGGAAATCTCCTACTCTGTCCCCAACTGTGGGCCCCCTCCCCCATATTGTGTTCAGTCCGCAGCAATATCTACAGCGTCGCTTTGCTATTCACTCTATCCTTCGTAAGCTCAGTACCCAACAGCACATTATTGGGGGTCTCCAAAGCCTGCTTGATGTCGGTTGCGGTTCGGATATCTTACTGCTTCTCAGTTTAATTCCGTGTGAGGATGCTCTACCTATTGAAGTTCTTACTGGAATTGATATTAGTGATGATATCAAGAGCGATTTATGCATCGAGAGTATCTCTCCAGGAGCTTGGACCGGTAATACTTCGGGGGAGGATAGATGGAGGCCGTTGGATATAGTACTTCTGTACGGTGTGTTTGTTCCCCCTCCCTTCCGCTCTTCCATTCCGGCACCCTTTTAGTTTTAGTCTAATACTGACAACCATTGGAAATTTAGGCGACTTTCAGTATTTGTCACCATACCTGATTCCCAAACATGATATAATTGTTTCTAGCGAAGGTCTGTCATATCACAACCGATCACTCGAAGTGCTAAATGCTTACTTGAGTATAGTAATTGAGCATTTGGATCCCAAACCTTTAAGCCTCTATGCCGGCACCTTGTTAGGTACTATGAGACCAAAAGTTTGCATCATTACCACACCCAATAGGGATTTCAACCCGATTTTCAGCATTAATTTTCCATCTCAGGGCCAAAACGAAATCGAGTTTCTTGATTCTGACAAGTTTGTTTTCACTCCTTTTAGCAACTATCAGCTACGAATAGCTTACTAATAAGGGACAGACCTAACAATAGTGGCAAATTCTGGAGAGAAGGGGTTTCCTATTTTATGCGCCATCACGACCATCGCTTCGAGTGGACAAGAGCGGAATTCCGTACCTGGGCTCGTAATGCTGGTCAGCAGTTTGGATACAAAGTCGATTTTACCGGTGTGGGCAGTTTCGGCTACAGCATGATGATTGAGAACGTGGATGAAGCAGTAGTCGAAGAATATCTTACGAAAGATATGTCAGGTCGAGTTGATAAACCTGAAGACGCCGACTACTTTGAACTGGAGCCTGCAAGATCCAATTTAGCGAAAAGGGCGGGCAGAGTCTATGGAGACTGCACTCAAATCGCTGTTTTCACTATTAACACTGACAATAGTAATATGGACTGTCAGGAATTATGTGAGGGAGTTTCTTTAAAGCATGCTTTGAAAGTTCTCCCTCCTGTTGGGACGACCACCGATGGTATTTACCTCGCTAAACATGTCGAGTACCCCTGGGTTGATTACCCTTACCCGCCAGGGAACCGCGATACTTTAGTCATGATTCAAGGTTGCTTGAATCAGTTTATCCCGACTCTAGTGTACGACGCCTGGAGCAACCCACCAGTCGCAGAATGGGACAAGCCTCGTGAAACTGATATCATGGAGCTGGGCTTTGACGACGAAGATCCTATCGCCAAGAGAAAGCGTACGTATGATGAATTGAGAAATGCAAGAGACCATACAACCCGACTCTTACAGGGTAAAAATCCGGCGGATCTTGAAGTCCTTGTCGTACCAGTCGAATTGAAGCGTATTTGGGACTCCGATTGGAAGCTACAGAGGGCGTTTAGATTCGATTACCACATGTTTACCACCAATTTCCATCTTGGTGGAGCCCCGAATTCGAATCTAAACGATACGATGTCCCTTAGTACCGAATGCAAGTTCCCACCCCGGATACCAGACTTTAGGTAAATAAAAATTGACGAACCACACAGGGGATGAAATTGTTTTCGCTGGAGCGCCTCACGATGGTGATTATACAGTTTACGTTTCCACTCAGGGTTTCCAGATTAAATACGGCAACCCACAGAATCCTGTATTCGAACCCGAGCCAGACTCTTTCCCGTTTTCAGACAGTGCCGAAGGCCAGCCAAACATCTGGGCAGAGTTCGCTTTTACTCCCGGCATCGTTCCTAAGACCCATGACGAAGACGAGCGCGTCGTCTTGATATTGGGCAAGAACGCTACCGTTCTTGTAGCCCCCGGCGACGATGAGGACATGTGTGGGAAGGATATTCTCTGGGTCACTTTTCGTAAAGGGGTAGTCTTTCCCCCTTACGATGACCGCCGTTTTAAAGCGCACGATGTGGGGGGAAGTCTCAGGTGATTTTTTCCCCTGCTTCCATTGCTGACCGATAATCTTCCCCCCGTGGTGCGTCCACTCTTCTTTGAGCAACCGGATAGATGGATGGATAGATAGATAAACAAGTGAAAATTCGATAATATATCGTCAATGCTTGGGCTTTCTGTTTCTCGTTTTATGCCGAATGAGCCGTACTTGAAGTTGATTGAATACGGGTGAGGGAACAACGAACAGAAGGGACTGCGAACCGTACCAAAAAGATCAGGTACCGTAGCAGGCGTCAAATTCGGTGCGCACTATCGATTATAAGAATAGGGCAGGATGACACGATAAACTTCTCTCCCGATCAAAAGAAAAGAAGAGTTTATCCAACAATCTGGTCCATCCACTGTGCGCGAAAGACAGTAGTATAACCGCGGAATCTCCTGAAATCCATAGTACGATCAACCCCAAAGAACCAAACCACTCTACTTTATATACCGCCCAGCAGACGACACCTCAGAGCGGTACCGGTACAAACCCCTCCGCCGCCACCTCCTTACTTCCTTTCATTCCCACGCTTTCAAAAAATGGTTTTCTTTATCTGTTTGTTTCTTTCTTTATTCCTGTCGTATGCTTGATCCATCCTAACGATTCCAGTTTAGTGCGGTACAGTACACGATTGAATTGCAAGTGCAATAGTTGTGGCCTTGAAAGCCTGATTCCACATGACGAGGGATAATAATGATACTTGTATTTGTACCGGCAGTGTGTGTGTGTGTGGACTGTACGCCTGAGGGGGTGGTGAGGTGTCCGAGAATGGAGATGCTGGAATCCTCGAATTTGGGAGTAGAAAATATCGTGGTAGGTCTTGACATTTTTACGTCTGGCACTTAATTTATGGGTTAAGAGGAGAATGATGGAGCTTAGCAGCCAAGCTTTCTGAAGTGGGAGCCGCATTTTTGGGTATGGGGTCTGGAACAAACCGGTCGGCCGGGTAACTTCTCTGTTGGCTTTCCGAACAGCCGGTTCCGGGAGTCTAGACCATCTTGGTAACAGCTGGCCTTAGGACCTTAACTTACCTTGGGCTTAGATAGCTCACCCGTGGCTCTTCCACTCCACGCTGCACCCACGCTCATCCCAACACCCCCCGTCACTCGCTATCCCTGACATACGGAGGTGAAACGGAGCAAAACGAAACGAAACGATCGTGCGCGCAAAAAAAACAAAAGAACAGACGTCGGAAGAAAGAGGGATGTCCCAAACATTCAATACAAAGTCGCCCACAATCAAGCGAATCCGTGCGCGCGCGCCCCCCCCCTCTCCCTCTAACTCAGCTGACAACCTACAGTCCGGGAAGCCGAAGAGCTCTCCAAAAACCCGGCAGAAGACTATCACGCCGCCCCGCTCGACGAAAACCTCTTTGAATGGCACTTCACCCTCCGCGGGCCACCCGGCACCCCATACGCGGAGGGCATCTACCACGGGCGCATAACCCTCCCGCCGGACTACCCCCTCCGCCCACCTAGTTTCCGCTTCATGACGCCGAGCGGGCGCTTCGAGGTCAACCGCGAGATATGTCTTTCGATCTCCGGACATCACGAGGATACGTGGCAACCGGCGTGGGGAGTTCGTACGGCGGTTGTGGCGCTGAGAGGGTTCATGGAAACTGAGGCGAAGGGACAGGTTGGTGGAATTGAGTGCGATGAGGAGACCAGGCGGGGCATCGCGAAGGAGGCGGGGGAGTGGAGATGTGGCGCGTGCGGTGGGAGGAGTAATGGGGAGATTTTGGAGGATTGTAGGGTTCTGGCTGAGGAGATGGGGAGGGGGAAGAAGGCGGGGGAAGAGGAGGAAGAGAGGAGAGTAGAGGGAATCACGATTGGGTATAAGGATGAAGAAAAGCAGATGGTAGGAGGTGGTTGCGCCATTGCTGAGGCGAGCTCTACTCCTACAGCTAAGGGGCGGGACACCTTTACCGCGCCCCAACCAACGCCGCCACCAAATCCCAATCTCCAACACCCCGAGCCTGCCCCCCCCATACAACAACCACAACCACAAGTACCACTTCCAGTACCGGCACAAGAAATCCAAACCCCCTGGCTGGACAAGCTAATCCTAGCCCTCATCGCCGTCCTAATCACGCACGTGATTAAAAAGATTGCATCGCACTTTTAATCCCTTCCTTACTCCCCTAGTCTTGTCTGCCCATCTGTAGGAGTGGACCGGTATATGCTACGGGTGGATCCCTTTAGGCTTGCCTCACCTGTTCCATTTGCTTGCTCGCATTTTACAAAAAAAAAAAGGAGAAAAAGAAATAGGAGCATATCAGGTGTATCGTGAGAAAACATTTCAGCAACACAAATGATTTCTTATATATACCGGGAAATACATTTAGTTTTCATTCCATTTCGCTTCGGAAGAGGGCGTGCCTGCCGCGCCGAGTGAAAGTTCAAGCAGGGCATGTATGGTACCGTACGAGTAGTGCAAACCGTATTTTCCTCCACCTCCATGACCCGCGCCTCCCCCAACCCCCCCGCCGTGAGGAACACTGGCCAGTGCCAGCCAAACCAAGTCAAGTAGGTAGGATACAAAATTATTCTCGTGACCCTTCTAGATATTACCGACCAGCACGAAGTGAAAAACCGCAATCGGTTCGGGTCCAGCGGTACCAAGTGGTTTAACCAACTGCTCGGATATGATACGGTCCTATACGCTTCCCATCCCTAATACTGTATGCTTTATTATTCGTACAGTACAGCACTGTACAGCACCGTATCGAAACATCTGTCCTGTCCTGTAGAAGGGCTACCGTATGCATTTTTATTTTCATTTTCCTTTTTCTCCCCCCCTATTCCGGTGACTGCCGGTGATAGGATGCTAGTGGTACCGTGCCAGTAAAACTAATGAGATTCGTTGGGGGAGCTAGCGCAGATGGGATTGAAGGGACTTTACACTTGTAATATGGTATGTAGACTGGTCTGTGATACTGCGGTTTTCGGGGATTATCACCGGGCTGTTCTGGTATTTTTATGAATTTTATTGATTCGTTCTGTGGCACTTTTCCGCGCACTTGACGGCGCTCCGCGCTCTTCCACTCTGTCCACGGTTGTGTGTCGGGAGAGGGTGAGAAGGAAAAGGAATCAGATCACGGAGGGGAAAATAGTGCCGAGGTGTGGTGCACTAGTCAAACACACGAAAGTCCGAACCAAGATCCATTGCCGGATCAATTCGATTTTATCATCAGGAAAGGATTACCCAAACATGGCATCCGAAAGAAGCGCACACGCGCCGTGAGCAAACAAGCAAACAAACAAACCTCGGGATATCCCTTGCAAAGTATCGTACTAACTAACCTGCCATGCACTTCTAGGTTAGCACATTGTCCGGTCCGGACTCGGAGGTGAAAACCCCTTCACCACAGAGAGTAAGGTTCCCTCTAGAAAAAGTCAATTCCTTTGCTTCCTGCAGAAAAGTCAATCGATGGCCATCTCGCCCCGTTATTCCCCATACTTCTCGCATAACCTATCCCGTTCACCCATTAACCAAGTGAGATCTCTCGACTCGCTCTCTGGGGTAATTCCGGACAAAATGGCATACGCAGTTGAAGACGTCCCTATTATTTCATTGTTCCGTTCTGCCCGGCCAGGCTTGGTTCCGGGGTGGCTTGACGGAGGTATATATTGCAATATTCGGGAAAACTCCCCGATGACAAAATTATGTTGTGAGATTGGGTGGGGCTCGGTTCGGGAAGGGGCTTATTGCTATTTATGAACTGGTGGGGAAGGGTGACAGAGAGTGAAGAGCCTTTCTGTTTGGTTGCTGTTAGCGGGTTGGTTGGTGCTGTGGACATAGTTGACTTGCTGGCGTGATGTAATGAGAGTTGGGAGGGGTTTGAATAAGCTTGGGGGAGGGGTGATCGATGAATGTGCAGCCTGGTTGCTTCGGTTTTGGTTGGAGGAGGCCGCATGGACCGGTGGTGCCGTCTTGTGTCCGGTTTCTTGGACTTGCTGTTATGTTAGCAGCTACCTACAGTCTGGCACAAGTAGGTTCAAGACGAGGAGGATCTCAAGACCGAGCTAGCTCGTGCGCCAAAGAATAACCCCCTAACAGGTTACATTTTGTTAACGAGGCTCAGTCCTCTCTCAAACTACTTCTGTATCACATATAATCACTCGTATATATAATTTGTGACGGGACCGCTGGGGCTATGGCATAGAAAGGATCAGCATGACAGCTTAAAGGCCACGAGGGCCTCCTTGCCACCGCAACCCCAGACGGCTGCTCTTTTAATGTACTAACAGTCTTGCTCCACCCTGGTGCTTAATGTAATATACCCAATCGGTGTTTGCTGTGTCTGACAGTACAGGGTGCCAACATGGCGCCTGTGGTCACTGGTGCCCAGTGCGGGATTTTGTCGTTTATCCAGTCCGTCAAAGTACAGTTTCTTTATATATCCTCCCACCTCCCACCGAATCTGCTGCCGGCTTCCTGATCGTTTCTCTGCCCCCCCTCCGTGTCCTGTCTTAGCGCCTTGTTTGCACGCAATCCGGTTCTGAATGCGTCCTGATTTTGATCGTCAATCCCAAACAAATATTCAATAGAACTCCCGTCGTATGCTCCTGGGGTGCTCCAGACATGCAAATACTTACTTAACGGAGTGCGGTAGTTTTTCCATCACCTTGCTAATGCTATGGTACTTGTGCCTCTCGGTCGGTGCGGTTAGGACACACACCAGAGCCATGTATCTGCTCACGCAGGGGAGGCACACCATGACCCCGAGCAAGACCTCCAATATCCCCGAGCAAATCGTCCCGGTTATAGATGAAGAGTCTGTGACTCCTACCACACACTACTTGCTCCCATGATGGAGCTCGTTTCCGTGGCCCGGGCTCGAAAACCCCTCGAAACTGCCGGTGGCCGGCTCTCGCGGTAATAGCTTGTTGTTTTTCATAGATACAAAGTGAGAAAAGCAGTGCTCACGAGATAGCAGCACGCCAACCTCGACCTCGTAAGAAAGAAGCCATCGAGCGGAGGATAACCCCTTCTGGAGGAGCACTAGGCGGGAAAGAGTGCTAAATATACCCTTGAAGCAGTACCACACCACAATTCAGAAGGAGTGAGCAAGGGTTAGGCCAAAGGTGTTTAGTTCTCGTTGCGCTCGAATGCTTGATATATCCTCCACCGGTACTGCCATACTCATTTTTACCTTCCGACGATAACTGATCAAGGTGGCACTATTACTGGCAACAGAGTTTTGGGCAGCCGGCAGTTGTGGCGCCGCAGCGAGTGTCGGGGTAACAGTACAACTTATCGCTCTATAGTGGGATTCCGGAAGCGTCCTGATTCCAAGATATTCTCGATCTGCTACAGCGAGTTAACGAACTGGGGGAATTCGGCAAATGGTGGAAAACTAGCGGGTTCCCCGCATTTATGGTGATCAAATAGGGAGCCCCATCACTCTGGCTGAGATATGAGACGTGTACTGCTGCTCTAATGGTACATGGAAGTATGCGGTGAGAGCTCTTTGGACAAGGGGCTAATGCCGCGGAGAGAGAGGTGGATTTGTTAGTGGGTGTCTCAAAATGCGGGATGATAGCTTGGAAAATCACCAAGGGTAGTGCTTGAATTTTGCTCTACCAGCCCCAGATCCCGTTGGGGCACGGTACAGTACCGGCTGTCGGGGCCGCCAAACCAGCTAGTAAACTACAGCCGGGGCCGGTACTAGTATCTGCGATCAGTCCTCCAGTTTCGGACGCACGAGTTATGCACGAATCTCCTGCTTCGAACCATGCTGGATTGGTGAGGTGAGACCCTCCATTCTAGTAGCTGAATGGTGGAGTGAACCGATCTTGGTTTCGTGCATGATCTTGATACTCAGCAACTAAGCTATGGGACTGCTTTCTTTCTTCCCCTGGCGATCTTGCTGTCACCTTTCACCCCACTAAGCATAATAAACCAAATATAGTCAGTTCCAGAAAGGGGTGAGAAACGTGGCAAATGTACCCTAACACACAATACGCGCGGTGTGCCATGCACTTCCTCGGCAGAAGGTTTACAGCGCGCCGTTTTTTCCAGGGAATACACCTCTACCGAAACACATGCACCTCCCATGTACCGAGAACTTTGAACCTTCCTATCATAGTTTCCGTAGCGCCGGACCGTTAGATACCCGCACTGTGCAGCTTTCTGCGCTCACAAGCATACCAGGTTGCCAGAGGTGATGTCAGCACCAGGAGGTCCCGGAAATCCCGGCATATCCAGCTCTAATCTCGTAGATCAACAGGGTCAACCACTTCTGTCGCCCAAATCGACATCTATAAAATCACGCCTACAGCGCCATAGCTTTGCCGTGGGTAGGGTTCCCCAGGCTATGGGATGCAGTGCAAACATGTACTTAGAGCACCCCCGCAACTGAGGCCGAAACCACCTTCGAGTGGTGTCCTCAAAAGCTTGCTTCCTCCCTAACAACGCCAACCCAAACCTGCTCGAAATGCCCTTGCCTAACAATTCGTGCGAATTAGAGCTTAGGATGCTGTATCGGAGATCTCGGCGAGAGAATGGCTAGGTGGCCGCTTGCGTCTAAGGGGGTTCGGGTCCGGAGCGGATTGTTCGGGTCCCGATTGGAGGAGTAACTCGTGAGGGAGAGCCAGAAATAGCATTGTTTGGGTGCGCTAGGTTGTGTTGTGTTGTGGATTTGATGGTACCATATTGGCTGTATCATACTGTACAGTACGCGCAGCGCCAGCACAAGATTGCGGACTACTGTATCACGGAGAGTAATCTAGTCTAGCTTAGTCTATCAGTCAGCTAGGCTCAACTGCAGGAATGTTTCTGTGGTGGGATTTTCAAGGGCCAAGAGTTACCCGATGATGGGCTGTGAGGTGGCCTGAGCAGCAACCACCATAGTCTACCGGTGTGGCACGAAGATGGTTTCAGGGGTTTTCTGGTCATGTTTTGCAGGTTTTTACCCATAGAATTTTCTGTTTGGGATCAGGCTTAGCAGGTGGAAATTTATCACTTGGAGGCATGGCCTTGCCTTCCTCAGAGAGAGAGAGAGGAGGAACGGAGCACGAGGGACCCATCCTGGACAACCTTCTACACCACCTCCTTTGTCGTTGTTTCGGAGATTCTTTTCCCCATCCTTTTTCTCTTGCTTTCTCGCTTTGTTTTACTGTCAACTTTATCAGCACAATTCTACTCTCCCATCCGATTGAATATCGCGTCATACGGCCAACACAATTGCACAGGTGTCAGCTTGGTCAATCACACCATCCAAATTGCAGAAGATCAACAGAGACACTTCCACACCGGTAAAAGGTTGGTGGGTAAACTAAGTTCTGGCCGGCAATTCCAACCAGATGAAACTCAATCATACCTCCGGGCTCCTCGTGCCTGCGACTGCACCCAAACCCTGTTAAAAGGTGTTTGCCGGTGTTTAGAAAAATAATCAAGAGTTCGAATGCAGCTTTTCTCAATCCTTACCTTGTGCTGAAGGAGAGGTATCTGCACCCAAATACCATTACTAAAATATGATGGGTACCGCACGTGCGGTGGATTAAGTGGTTGGAGAAAGCATAGGGCCTCGCTCTTGCGACAGTGGGAAATCATTAAACTACCGGTGTTACCTCTTCGGGATTGCCTCTCTCTTCCCCATATATTTTTCATCAAGACCCATTTACCCCTTCTAACCTTTTCTCCTTATTATCCGGCCCACTATACCCCCACTGCCTCAGTCTAAGTAAACATTGAACGGGAGAAGTGGGAACTGGCAAACACACCAGGTAATACAATGCAACATGATTTATTGCACTACGTGAAATCTGCTCTTGGCTAGACGATCGGTAACACCATGTGGTACAGAATGGCAACTGCTTGTTCTACAAGACTTCTCGAAGTTCGGGGTCCTGTCCCCCCCCCCCCCCCTGCTCACCTGAGCCGATCGGCTGTAGCACCGCCGGATCTGTTCCGTCACGAAAACGATCCTCGAATCTTAACTTACGTTCACCCAAATAGGCTTCCCCGAGACACTACCGTCTGCTATGACACTGATCTGCTTGGGATAATCCACCAGTTTGGCCCAAAGCCATTCGAATAATTCCTTTGATTCCGCCATATATGGCCTCCTCCCCGGTACCCCTGGTAACAAAGGGGATCAATAAGCGTATTCTCTGACCACACCTCCTGGCGGTAGTTCAGTCCCGAATCTTTTGGGGTCCCGTATCTTCCCGCTCATCGCATAAACCTCCAATCCACGACCCTCAGAAGGAAGGATGGAGCCGGAAACAAGCCCTTCCCAGTCCCGTGTGCGGGGAAATCTATGGAATTGACTATGGTACTGTACAACCCTTGAGAGACTTGAATTGCTTAAATATAACTATTTTTGGAGAACTATAGCAATTAATCTCGAACGGGATTTCCACTACTACTTGTATGCATGATGGAGCAGGAGCTTGGGGTGGTGATATCATAATTTCTCGAACATAAATCCCACCCTTTCCCCGTCTATGCTGTCCGGGTGATGACGAGATCATGGCTTCCGAAACCCCTTCTACCAGCTCTATCAGGGTGGCCAAAGTACCAGTGAGCTACAAAATTGACCAAAAGAGTCCTGGTGGTTATGACGACGAGAAAGCAATCGATCATGCAGATACTTCTTCCAAAGAGAGTTGGAAAGATCCTTTCATCAACATATACAGACTTTGCTCATGCTTCACTTTATTCATGTCCGGGACTTTGTTCCTTTCTTCCTACGGTGTAGGTTCACCTCTCTCGATCAATCCACCCGAGTACATGAAGCTAAAACAGAAACCAACAACTTAGGTCCTAATCCCAGAGGTAAACAGTTCGCTTCACGGCTGCTTCGGGGCTAAACGAGAAACCCGCAGTTCGAAAGAGATTACAATATATCGCATACCACAGTCTCCCTGGTGTTTGCCGGTCTCTTCGGCGGTGCTATCGTAGCAGCCATCACAACCTACAAAAGCCACATGTTGCTCGGTCGTGTTGGTGCTGGCTTTCTAGGGTGCCTAGGAATAGGGCTAGGATCTACAATTGTAGCCCTGCACCCGCCATGGCCAGCCGTGCCGGCCGCGATGTGTCTAGTAACATATGGTATGACCGCGCTTGACCCGACCGCTGTTGCCTGGATTGGAGGTCTCCACCATTCCAGGGAGTTGATGGGCGTCCTTCAGGGCTGCTTTGGTATTGGGTCTACGATTGCTCCATTGATTGCCAATGCGATAGTTCAGCACGGAATCCCGTACTATAAATATTATTATATCCCTGTTTGTCCCCATAGCCCCGTCATAAATCGTTGCTAATCGGGAGAAGTTGGGACTCTCGATTACTGGGAGTACTGGATTCGTGGTCTCCTTCTGGGGTGAGGACGGTGCGAAGTATGCTCGAGAAACCGGCAGCTCTGAGCATTCGGGCGCGGCCCATGCAAAAGGGATTCTGAGGAACAAGGTATTTTTTTTCTTTTTTCCCCTCCGGTTATCCTACCAGGATATCGTTGTTGACGAGATCAGGTTTCTTGGATTCTGGGATTGTTCCTGCTGGCCAATTGGGGTGTTGAAAGTACGTACAATGTACACACACCACCAAACTAACCATAAACCCAAGTTAACCATTATAAAAAGCGGTGATTGGCAGTTGGATGGTGAGTACCTAGCCTCAGAAATCTTAAATCCCTTGCTAACTGTGTAGTTCACCTATCTCACCGAAGCGCACGGGGGCTCTTTTTCCCATGCTAGTCTCGTCAGTTCAATGTACTGGCTCTCCTTCACCCTTGGTCGCTTCTTTCTAGTATGGGTTGACGGATTGATTCCTCCTAAACGGCGAGGGAAAGGCCCTGTGTCGCTCTTAATCTGCTTATCGATAGGGTTGGTGCTCATGTGCTGGCTTCTCCCAACATTCGCCGGAGTTTCCATCGTGTGAGTTCTACCAAAATCCCCAAGCTAAAGAAATATTAACAATGGGCAGCATTTGTCTGCAAGGTTTCTTCTGCGGGCCATTGTGCCCTTTGGTAACCCAAACCCCGGCTTCCTAGGTTCGCGGAGAATTAGCTGACAAAATTAGCTTCTAAAAATGCTGACCACACTTCTACCGCCCCACCTGCACGTCTCTGCCATTGGGCTCTGCAGTGTGCTCGGTTCCTTTGGAAGTGGCATCTTTCCAATTGCCGCAGGTGCGATTGCCGAACACAGAGGGTATCCACTCCTCCCCCGTCTGTTGACTGTAGACTTTCTTTCTCACAGATTGGCAGAATTTCTAAGATCCACCCCCTTATATTCTCGGTATACATCGTAGAATTGTTGATCTGGCTCTGCCTCCCAGCGCCGCCGTTGGAGACAATTATTTCGGACGTACAATCAAAGAAATAAATCACCGAGCGATTTTCCTAATAATAATAAAAAAGCAAAAGCCAAAAAAAAAACTTAACTTACGAGTTGGGTTGGGGTCTGCGTCCCATTGGGGCCATTCGGGAAATGGGTATTATCTCGGGAAATGGTTTCGCCTTGCATCCTCAAATTTACTCTGATTCCGTTTTATTCCTATAGCGATGATAGAAGAGTTACCGGCACCGATAAGCGTGACAATTATTTACTGCAATATGGAATCGGGATCGCGAACTGGGGTATTATAGCTTGACCGCAAAAAAGAGACCTTGAATTTCCATGCCGTACATACCCCATTAGGGAGTATCTCTTTCGTGAGAGAAATGAAGATAAAGCCAATACGTATCCGTTTGTGATCTAAAAGGCGGATGACCCCAGGAGAAACTCCCCGCTTTCCCCACTCTGTCGGAGCTCAGCACGCTGGTAGAAGAGAGTAGCACTGAATAAAAAAGTCTGGGTTTCATATTCGTTTTGCCAAATCTTTCTCAAAGACAGACCCGATATATTCGAGGCATATGATAGACAAAAGACCGGAGGAGCAAACCATAACGGTATATCGGAGTGAGAGCATCAGGCGTCACACTAGCTAAACGGCACCCGATATATAGTAGTAGCACTTCCAGCCTCGGACGGTTTCTCCTCGGTATGTACCAACACATCCGAGACTCGGACTCCCTCCAACATTTGAGATTCCACTTGCTACGGATACGCTCTAATACCGCCCCACCAGCTCCGCAGACCCCATTCCCAGGTTTCCTCCCGCAGAGTGATTACACTGGCACTCAGCGCGGGCGGGGATTTCATAGTGTGTGGGTGCATGGGCCTCTAAATTGAATATTCAGCGGCCCAGCCATCTTCCCAACGGCATATCGTGACGGTTCGGTACTCCCTGAGAAAATGCCAAGTTCACCCCCAGCATTTTGAAAGGGAGATCACGAACAACTTGACACCATGCAAATGCCAAAAAAAAAACCCCCACCCAGAAATATGGTAGACCTCACTAAGTCTACCCAGGCTAGATAGGGGGTTTTCTCCCGACGGGAATTCCCTCCTCGCCGCCTTCCATTTGTAACTGGCTGCGCCCCAGTCGTCCAGGAGGTGGTTGGATCTGCCACTACCAAAGCCGTACGCCATGATGTAGGGTTTTGAAATGTCTTGCTTCGGTCGGGACTGCAGAGTACACAGCTTTCAGATGCGGATGGGTGCTTGCGAGGCCGCACCGCAGTTGCACACCGGGAAAGGAGCTTACAGCGGACGTAGAGAGAAAAAGCCAACAACTCGGGCGGGATAACTGGGTAAATACCTCTTCGGGATTACCCACAAGTCCAAGATAGCGGACCAGAGGCAATTCAGCACTTACACCGCGTCAGAAAACAGAGACAAGTTCGACGGGAACAATGTCTGGCCACACACACCGAAGGGTAGTGACATCGTTTTTCAACAAAAGAATACCGCATCACAGCACAGCACCCCTCGCCCTCCGCGGGGAGTGAGTTGAAGAACTTTCCCAAGATACGGAGGGGGATTGGCAAGAGATAGGAGCGCCGGAGGGAGCATGGGCCTTAGAGGGTTGTATTCCCCGCTCCCGATGAGCGAAATATGATCCTCTCTCCCCCGGTGCCAAACTTGTGGATATCTTGTAAGCGCTGCGGTTTATCGGCACGTACATGCCTAGCGCAATTCCTGGCGATATTCTTGGATTCTCAAACTTAGCTGGATCGGTGACGGGATTGTGTTGGCTATGGTGGAACATCGGGAGAATCAGCCGCTATCGTCTAACCTTTAGGCGGGGAAGAACCGCACGGTCGGTGTGGGGTTTGGAGGGTCCAGTATGGGTAGTGGGTAGAGACTGGAGGCTAATATTCAAACCGCAAAAGCCTGTAGATGCATCACGCGGAAAATAATTGAGGTCGAGCTGCCGCTGGAAGGGGGGGTGGAAAACCGGGAATCAGAGGGCCGCCCAAGACCCCCAGGACCGCCAGCGATCCAAGGAGGAAGCGCCTGGGGGTTGAGAGTATCCCCGTATCTGTTACCAAGCAGGAGCCTGGAATTGAGCAAGACCCGGGTATCAAGAACCCGTCTACCTTAGAGCGAGAACCCAATGGGCGTATTAAAGAAGAGCAAGGTTCTATCAACAAACAGTTCTAGTTGGCAAAAGGCAGGATCAAACAGCTTGATTCTGAGGAAGTCTCTCAAAGGCAGCCGCACACAGCCCGACGCTAACCGCGTGAATCCTCCCCGCCTCCGCCATTCCTCCTTCCTCTATATACCTTCCCTTCTCCCCCTTCGGCAGCAACTATGTAAGAATGTTCTATCCTCCCTCAATTCTCATCCAATCCCTCCACTGTCCTTCCACCTAGTTGCCATATTTTTCATGGATTCTATCAAAACTTCCATTCCAATTCCCTCCTCTCTAGTAAACAACCCCTTTTCCGACCAGCGCGAAACAACCGTAGAAAACTCCCCATCATAGACCGGCACTCGTCATTACAATGCCAATCGGGAGACACTGGAGAGACCATTACCGGACAGATTCTGCCAGAATTAGCTTCAAAAACCCCTTGAAATTATCCCGTGTCTGAAACACATGCGCAACTTTTTCCGATTTTTATCCATCCCATTGGATTTTGAAGGATCAGGGGGACCCAGATTTTCCCGCGTTTTGACCTGTGCTGCCTACCGAACGGCACGTACCCGCGCCGTTATTACTCCAACCGCAGGATCCGATCAGTATATCCGCATAGCGTATTCATAGCGGCGAATCATAATACGGTACGGTACAGGACATCAAGTGAGCGGAGGTCTTCCTTTTTTGTTAAAAAAAAACCGTGGCGAACCGGCAGGCCCGTAAGCTGAAGCCAACGCGGAGGTCCAGCACAGGAGGGAAATCGACTTCTAACCAATCGTGTCGGTGTGAGGTAGCGCATGGGGTAAAGCCGACTACCGCCAGCGGCTCAAAGACACCGTAGGCAGGACGCCGGTAATGCTCGAAGGTTGTTAGTTAAATCGACGCAAGTTAGGCTACGAGAACTAGCGAGGCCTCCGCAATGATCTCTTTGGCCTCCAGGAGCAGTTGAAATTCCGCGGTGATTTGCGATGCGAGACAATCTTTCATCTTCTACTCCTACGGTGGAGCATAACTTTTGAGGCCGCCGTAATTCGGGTCCCTCAGTATCGTCGAGGTTGATTGGAATCGGCCGACATGGACACCCCCAGCCACCGAGAACACCGAGTCTCCGGAGCGGGAGCAGGCGCTTGGAGCCGGTTGACTAGAAAACTCAATTCAAACAAGGTGACCCGAGCACCGATAGCGGCGTGATCTCACCCAAGGATACTATTCCGTGATAGCACCGCATACCGGTAGTGCGTGTCTTTCCGATGTGTAGGGTGTACCATATATTTCGTGCTCGAGCGACCAGCTCACATTCCATCTCGCCAGATATCACGCGGTGGATCATTCCTACGGGAACAGCGAGGAGAAAATAGTAAAGGCCGGCATGACGTTGAATTAGGATCGTACTTTAGGAACCGGTTAGCGGCGCCGTGACGTAGAGAGCCAGGCCACTAGGGAGACAGCACTCGATCCAACAGTCCTTTTGGATCGATGTGCAGTGTGCCGGCCTTTGACATAGTTTCGTGCCTCTCGCATTTCCCTCCATAGGACTCTGCTCAGCTTGTGGGGATACCCACAGGTACGGTGCCGTAGAAACTGAAATAGCCGGACAAGGTTCTATGTTGTGGAAAGTTACCCACTCTAGAAAGCGGTCAAAAACACAGGAAAGGATCAGCTGCTCAGCCCCTGAAACAAAATTAAAAGATTAAAAGATTAAAAATATCAGACCTTACAAGGAGACAACTCTGATGACAGTTTCCGGTCTAATCAATCATTCAAACAAAACAACGAACAAAACATGATTGAAATCAACACCCCCACAACCCCCCCAGGGCCCCCGAAAAAAAAGAAGAAAAGAAAAAAAACATCTCCCTCACCCCCTCGCACAGCGGCCAGGCAGGTGACGGAAAACCGAAAGATCCAAAAGCGTAACCTTCGCATCAAACCGGAAACAGTGCAATACCGGTGACACAGTGGGTCAGGACATAGCAAGCCAGCGGTCAAGACCCGGGATGAGCAAAAATGGGTATAAAAATGAACTGGTCCCCGTGGGAAGACCGTTTCAGTTTTTACACTGAAAAGAACAGATACTACACTTGATCTAAGCCAAGAGGCAAAGAGAGCTGGAGAAGAAAGGAAAGGAAAAAGTCGAGAAGGTGGGTGGGGGGGGATATTTATACTCCTTCAGGGGTATTTTTGGCCGACAATTTTGGCCGACAGTTTTGGCCGCCGACCAATGGGAGTTGAGCATTTGAGGGGGCACGCACCTACCCTACCGTGACGTTCGCAAACATTCTGGCGCGACCTAACCGTCGTAATACAACAGCACGTGATTGACAACCACTGTTACTCGTATCTACTCGAGTAGCAATAAGTATCTGAAAATAGGGCCTGTGTTACACAACCACCCTACAAGCAAAAACAACGGTGGGGCATTTTTCAGATTCTTTATGCCGGATACGAGTACAATGAGTTTCAAAAAATCCATATCGATGTGTCGTATGATCCCATAGAGGCCAACTTCCGTCCCAATGTCCCATTATCACAAGCAGCAATCATCTACTAGCACATTCAAAAATTATCCAGAAATCTTAGCATTTCCGAGGCCTAAATTATGCCAGTATTTCCAGACGCTTTTAGGATGGGGATGTAGAGGTTCATAAGGCTCTGGGTGCAAGTGGACCGTGATTCAGGAAGCGCCATCTGGAAGTTTCTACCCCCTTCTATGAATGAGGAAGATGGAAAAGTGGCTAGTGAGGGGTTGAGAGGAGAAAAGGGAGAGAGAGAGAACACGGAAGATAGAAGACAAGCATCACCGGAATTTTCCTTTCTCTTTTTCTTTTGTCTTTCCTTTCCCGCGGAGCAGTCTATTTCACAGAGGAACACTTGGTTAAAGATTCATCGTGGAATGAGGTTGCATCGCCTTCTAGTCACCTTCAATATTGTCTTCAACATTACTGTTACTAGTGAAGTGCTTTGCTACCTGTTCTTCAATTACTTTCAGGGCTCTCTGGCGTCAGCGGGAACAGATAGATTTCCCTTTTACCATCACCCACCAAAGAAGGCCAAGGATCAGGGAAGGCATGACAGCGGGTGCCCGAAAGGCGAGTGGGTACAGTTTCTAGGTCCAGATTGCTAGCAATTCACAACATCACAACTTCCACAGAGGCAGGTGGGGGCTCGGAGGGAAACATCTTGACTGGACTAGGTCAAGCCAGTTTGTAAAGGCTTTTCAGACATCGGATACAAGAACCATCCGAATACCCCATCCGAGTCAGAGTACCAAATATCAGACACCTACGATTCAGTGCTGAGAGGAGCGTTCCTTCTTGCTGATTGCTATCGTGAGGGGGTGTCTATATACAAGCCAGAGACCCATCGGCCGCGTTACCAAAACCACCCAAACAATCAGTTGTAACCTAACCTCCGGCTATCCGTACGTCCGACAGCACGGCAGCCCACCGATGGGCAGACATTGCCCGCTCCCACGAACACACCACACCGCATGACTTAGATCATTGACTCACATTCTAAACCAGCTGCATTTCCGCCGTTTCGATCATTGGCCGTGACAAGAGCGTGAAATAACGACGCGCACAGCCCAAGGTGTCCCGAGACCCGATAACTATTGTGGGTTCTATCACGCTATCCGCATTATCTAATAGCGGATTCTGGTAGGGAATCCCGACTATCCACCACCCCCTCCGTCTATTTCACTCCCGACCTACTTTCTATCGGGTAGGGCGGAATAATCACCCCCGGACATGACGCCTTCGGAAGGAGTGGGAAGAAGAGGCCTAAACGAGCTTTTAGTACTTATCTCCTCTTTTCACCCCCCCCCCCCTCCAGTTGTTTGCGCCATACCGTCCCGCTTCCGTCCAGCTCGGGGAAGGGGGATGCCTCCCCGCACGAGGCGTACCACAAATGGCGCAGTAACCCGCCGTAACTACCCAATCATAAAGCAGAAACGGCAACCAATTTCTAACGAACGACTTCCAGCTAAGAACTGACAGGGATTCGGAAGTGGTGGCCCTGTCATATTTCCTCCTCCACACCCGAAAAAAAAAAGAAAAAAAAAAGATCCAGAAAATTAACACCTGGGTTTCTGATTTTATTATTTTTTTCCAAAATTTGAACTATCAGACCTCTCCCCTCGGGCTCGGGTGAGGAAGGTTCGGGGATCCGGAGCCTTGGATACAATAGCGGCAGAAATCTGCAAGGTCGAGCAATCACACGAGTGACTATCCATGATCACGAATGAAGCACTCCACGGGAACCTGACCTCTAGAGAGCGTGTGGAGAGGCACTCGGGCGCCAAAGGGAAGACATCGAAAGCGGAAGGAACAGTCAAACACCCCCACGAGAGAGTATTTTTTTTTTTTTAACGCGGATACCAAGTGGCGTTTCCGGAATGGTCCCCGTGCAGGGGCAGATTACGCATTAATTTTTACTTAACACATCGCGTGGTGCTGTACTGGTATGTGTCTTCAAAAAGCCCTGTCCGGAACTCGAGTATTGAAGAAGGCCGTCACATGGTATCTCTAGTGGAAGAGGGTGTGTATTAGGTTTTTGAATTGTTTTCGGTCTTATTCTGATGTATGATACCGGTAGGATGGCGCGGTGAATGGCCGCCCGTTCCCGTGCTTATTGGCTAACCCTACCTCTAAGCTCTCCGGCCCGCCCGCTAAACACTCCCCAGAAATCCGGGGCCAGCTATTATAGTACTCGTACAACACAGCCACCTCAAAGTCCAATACCATCATCATGTCTCCATCCCTATCCCTGCGACACCAACTCCGCCTGAAACTAGCACCTCACATCACATTGCTGCACCGCCGCAGCATTCGCACCGGGCGCCCCACGATCTCCCGCAAAACCGCAAAGTTAAAACAATAAGGGAAAGTAAGGTATCTATTTTAATATAGGAACCACACGCAACACCAAACCCCACATTCTACCGTCCCGTAGCGTACCATACCATGCCGTGTTAGACTAGACCAGACCAAACCAACAAACTACCCTAACTAAATGAATCGTAACACATACGTGAGGTTCATACATGGAGAAACAAAAACACAAAAAGCAAAAGTCAAAAATAAGTTGAAAAAAAAAATGACAACTCCCGACGAGGCAACATGCATGCAACAAAAACACATAAAAAATGAAACGAAATGAAAAAGGAATGGAGACGCTCAGCTAAATGAACGCGAAATGATAAAAACCCGATTCGCCCACCAGCACCAACCTAAGTCAAAGAAAAGGGGGGGAAAAAAAATGAAACATCTTAACCAAACAACTTGAACTTCCGCAAACCAAAGATCTTTCCAAGTCCCTTCGCTAACCCCTTCTTCTCCTTCCCAGAATCCTTGCTGTCCTTTCCGTCCTTCGCATTCTTGCCGTGAGCAGAGTCAATATGTGCCGTCAGCTCGTCGGTATTTTCATACAAAGTCTTGGATGTAGCTGGGCACTGTGGGCAAATAATTGTGGAACGGGACGCAGACGCGGTTACGGACTCGACGGTGGAAGTTGGGGCAGGAGTGGAGATTAGGGATTGGGTGATGGCACGGGGGGCGCGGGGGCGTTCTTCTTTCGTGGGGATAGAGGGGGTGGGGGAGGAGGATAGATCTAGGTTTGGTTGTGGCGCGGTGGGGGGAGGGGCGGAGGTCTTGGAGGGGGATGGCGAAGGGGCGGGGATGATATCGAGCTTAGTGGGAGTTGTGGCCTCTGGGATGGCTTGCTCGGGGGCGGGGATGGTTTGCTCGAGGACGGCGGCAGCAGTTGGCTCGGCTGCGGTGGGTTTGGTGGTGACGAACTCCTCTTCGGCGGTCTCGGGGATCGGAACGGGAGTGGATAGGATGTCAACTTTTGCAATGGTGGCCTCAGGAATGGGGGTCTCTGGGATGATGGCCTCTGAAGCGATAGCCTCGGGAACGATGGCTTCGGCAATTATTTGCTCGGGGGTAGTTATCTTGTGAGATTGGGCCTCCTCTTCTGGTAGGGTGTGAGCTTCGGCGCTTGAAAGAATCAATTCTTCGGACTCAACACAAGCGCCCTCCGGCTTGATCAAATGTTCGGGGATAGCTCCGTCGGGCACCGCTGGTGCAGCGGCTGGCTCCCCCTCCTTTGCCTCCACCTCCACCTCCGCCTCTGTTTCCACCTCCACCTCCACCTCCACCTCCACCTCCACCTCCACCTCCGCTTCCGCCTCCACCTCCACCTCCGCCTCCACCTCCGCCTCTTCCTTCAATTGCACCTCTGTTTCCTCCTCCACTTTCATGTCTGGGCGTGCCTCTGGAGCTGTGGCAACGGGAGACTCGCCGGTCTCCGGCTCCTCAGGTGCCTCGACAAATTCAAGAGTCGGTGAATCCTTCACCCCTTGGCACGCGATTGGCTCCTCTTTCTCTGTATGATGCTCCCCGGCTTCCTTCGGCACACCAATCACACTCGGTGTGCTTGGCACACTTGGTGCCTCCATCTCCTCCGCAACGACAGGTACAACCTCAGCACGAACCACAGCAGCACTCGCAAGCTCACTCGGCATTTTATCGCCGAACGGATTCTCGACCGCATCATCAGAACGCGAGCTAACACTAGTAGCGGGCGTAAGTGCCGTAGTCTGGGTTTCTTCGGGGGTCTGTGGAATGTCGATATGTAGCACAGTAACCGGGGTCTTGACCGTCTCCTCGAACTCCTCCGGCGGGGGCGTACTCGGCAAATTCAGCGAACGCACACTCGCACTCGCAACCGCAGCGGCTGCGGGTTCCGTCTCCTTTGGTGGTGGCTTTGCAAGGTCATTATTATCGTCTGTGGCCGTCAGCGAGACGCCATCGTCCATCGACGCGATCGATGACCGTCGTGAATCGCTTATCGGCGGAACCTGGAGGGATGATGGTGCCGTCGCTACTCTCTCCATCAGTGTCGGCCGGGGGGTGCTGTTTCTACTGGGTGCGGGGCTTGATTGTCGTGATGACTTCCGGGCAGCTCTGTTGTGAGATATCGACGCTATGTGTTGTGTCATCGCCTGTTTATTGACAAACTTCCGAGCACACGTCTCACAGTATAATCTCGATGCCGCGACGCGCGGGGCCATCTCGGCCGATGCATGTGCCCGCCCCCGCAAGTGTTGGTTCAATGCCGCATCGGTTTTAAAGTACCGGTTGCACTCCGAGCAGTATATGCTCGGTACATGGACAAGCCTCTTGTGCTGCTGGAGAAATGAATCGTTTAGGAATGACCGGTCGCACTCGCTGCAGTAATTCGGCGGGAGGTGGACATCCCTCGTGTGCTGTTCCAGAGCCTTCGGGTTGAAGAAGTACGTCGTGTACTCGCAAGCCTCGCAGGGGAATTTGGGGGCATGGTCCGTGGCGGGGAAATGAAGGTTCCACGCGCGTTCGGTGGGGTACCAAACTCCACAAGGGCTGCAATAATGTGACATCTTGCTATGATGGGCCGTGAATAACTAAGGCAAACTCGAAGCTACCTCGTAGAAAGAGGGGGGGTAGCGGGAGCTTCTTATTTAGCACAGCCTGCTAGCCCCATGCGAAGTGAGAATTGGAAGGAGGATGGGAGGATGGGGGTGGCCAGGCTGCAGTTTTCGGATCGCCGGACAAGCTCCCAATCGGCCGGCTAGCACTTTTTTGTGCGGAGAAGTGATATGCTCTCTGGGAGTCTCATGAAACTTCAGCTTGCAGTCCCGGGCCATTTTTTCAGGCGCTATTACCGTTGGCGATGCCATTATTGGGCACTTCGCCTGTGTTTCAAGCGTGTCTGGCCTTTCCATCTTTCAATCATCGAATGCCACAAGCCAGAGCCCCGGATTCTCGCCCAATGAATTTCAGGATCAGTGACTGGTATCTGCTATGTAAGGGTATATTAAGCGGACAAGAGGGGTGGCAGTAATGTGTATTGCAATCTCCCCACAGTACATTACAGCATTGACGTGTTCTTGTCTGGCGCTCGCAACCAACCACGCCCCAAAAAAGCGCCATATGCGAGTTGAAATGCATATTCACCCCAGTTGGCTCCGAGTCGCTGCTCCTCGGAAGCTGCACGAGTGGGTCAATTCACAATTCCAAGAATAAAGGTGGAGGAAAAAGAAGAAAAATCAAAGAAAAGAAATCCGCGTGAGAAAAAGATTCGATGTGTAGTCAAGATTCGATATATTACTTGCCCATTACCTCTCGTGATGATTATCAGATCTTTTTGCTCCTCCTCCTCCCCCCCTTCCCCCGCTTTGCCATTCGCATCGGGTAGGAGTACTCATACCGTTACTCTCGCTCACAAGCGATCAAGACGAATTGTTTAACCCCCGAGACTCGTGGAAACGTTCTCACGCCTTTCCGGACGCATTGGGCGAGAGGAAAGGAGGAAAAGGGAAAAAAGGAAAAAAGGAGGGCGGTGGCATGCAAAAAATGGGAGGAGTAAACATGTTTGTCAGTAAGATTGGCTGAGGGATTGCCAACTGTCGTCATTATTTTTGGAGCATCTTCCCGCCGAGGATTACGGTTGCTCCCTTTGTAGGGATCCTGTGCAGTACTGTACTTTACCGGTACTGTACTCGAGTAGAGAGCAGCAGGCCGCCAATTAAGAGTCCGGTCACAAGTGCCATAATCTGACCTGGGTTAAATTCGGTTTTCGGGAGAAGAGGGTACCGGTACAATAAGGTGCAAAGGCTGCTCCCGCAATCAGATGGATGTCCCCAAGCTCCAAATCTCGCAAATACCGAACCGCTATGGCATAGGGGGATCAAGTTGTACTCGAGCAGGCGCTGACGGTTTTGTTTTTTGCGGGAAGCGAAGAATCGGAGCGCCAATTGAGCATGCGTCCACAGGTTTTGAGTGGGCACCGAGCTGGTTCCCAGATGTTCGCAGCACGGGACACTCGTGGGTAGAAGTGCTCGGTGCGTGGTGAACGAGTGCGGTGGGCTCAGGGGTGGGGGTGACTGCCGGTATGCTACTGCACGAGTACTCGAGCACATTTCTCTCGCAAGTAACAGGGATCTTGGTGGGGTTGGCATCGATTCTGTCGCACGAGTGCTGGATCGGCTCTCAAGCCATTGATTGACTGTACGAGCACTGGTACCGGTATTCGAGCACGAGTACCCAGAAGATGTCAAAACCCGACCCCCAATTTGAGGATCGTAAAAACGAACTCCGAATAATGTGGTCCCTTCGTGAGGGGACGGATAGGTCGTCTTTTCTGTATTTTTAAGCGGCACACCAAGCCGGGGAAACTGACGGCGCAAAGGAACAAAATTCTGGAGAGGTGAAACGGGTGCCGTACTCGTGCTCAGTTATTCGCAGTGTGCAGTACTGGAGGGATTGGCCCGGTGTGTACTCCGGCCGAGGTGTCGTGTCTACTCGTACTCGAGTACACACCGTACGGTAGTCCACTGGCACTCTGGTCCGCTCAAATTTCAGGCCAGGAGGGTTGCCACGAAAGGGTCCAGCAACTAATTCGCCGTTTCGCCAAGGCCCCGACTTCACTGTGAGCACGTTGCACCGTAGGAAATCCCTAACAAATCGCAATTGACCAAATGAGCGGTGGCAGGTGGGACGGTGGGTCCCGATTCAACACCAAACCGCGAGGGAAAGCTTTGTCCTGCAACCTTTCCCCCAAGGACCGGCGTGAGAATTGTGCGGGAGATTGAGTGCTGCGCGTTGCCGCGACAGCATCGCAGACTCGCTCCTATTCGTAGGGTGCAGTGCGGTACCGGCGGGAATCTTTCCCCCTTGATATCGGGCAGATTACGAGCAGGCTCCATGCTCAGGGCGATACAGTGCTCCAATGCGAGATTTACTGAAGGAAGAAACCGGTACTGTGCCAGTGCGCACCCGTGTGCAGCGATGCGGTATTATCCTCCCACTTTTCCCCATTCTCCGTGAGTTGAGCTTTGGTGACGGGGGAGGAAATGCAGGGGGCGTTCTGGGAACCTCTGCGCCTACCGTATGATAGTTGTCTACGCCCATTTTTTCCCGAGGGCCTTTTCGGGCGCGTTGCCGGTGGGTGCCGTCTCCGTACCCTCCGGCGTGTAGATTTATGTACGAGCAACAGTGCTCGAACACACTGCCGGTCGGTACGATACACGGTACATACTCGGTATGCCCTCGGATGCCTTAGTGGGGTGGCGTCGGTACGTATCATGCCATCTGCCACTGCCCAACTGTTCTGTAACCTCTGCAGTACCCCTAGGCTTCCGGGTTGCCAGGGCGTTTCGGGATGGCGTCAGGAGAAATGAGTTGTACAGTACGAGCACTTGTGGGCTTCCCCTTACGGTGCTGTCTCGTGCCTTAAAAAGCTCCAAGATCCAGACTACTGTACCGCTAGTGCCTTGTAGCCCTGGCTTTTTCTCTCGGCCCAGTCTCGGGGAATTTGGTGGTGGTGCTGTTAATAACCCGGATGCCCCCCAAAACGCTGATAATCCTGGGATATCGGGGAACCTGGTGGGCCTAAGTTACTAAATATCTACGTTTATGGATTGGACTGCAGTGTTTTGGCTACTCAAGAGCTTGTTTCTCAAATTTTATCCGTTTTTTGAGAGGTGGTGGGTTTCGTTGTCGCAATCGCTTTCTCGGTTAATTTAGTTATCGTTACATGGTCCTCGAGTCTCAGGGTTATTAGGCTCAGTGCTACAAGTGGCCGGCGGCCAGTATCCTTGTAATACCAGTATACGGAGTAATATGATACTTGTACAATAATACGATAGCCTGCGGGTGCTCGGAATGGGGCACGAGAACAGCAGATAGCAACGGCCCCTACGTGTCGATATGATGTTACGGTGGCATGTTTTACGGTAGCTCGACAAAACGAAGGAGATGTTCTGGTGGTGGTATGATAATCTGAAAAGCGCACAATTCTATCTTATGCACTTCGTCTCCGAATGCGGATAAAAGTGATCACGCAAACAGCGATTTCTATGCGGTCAGGAATGATAAGGTACGGTACTAGTACATGCGGTCCCAGAAGTTCTAGCCCTTGAAATCTTGGCGTGACGTCTGGCGTCACCGAGCCCTGAGCCCCTCCCGGTGAGTTGAGCCTCATATCCTTCCCCACCACCCGAGTCCTGGTTCACCCGGAGCCAAATTTTTACTCTATCATAGCAAACACGGAACAAAATGGAGAGAATCGTGACGCTCGATAAGGCAATAAATGCCATAAAGACGGCTGCTGAGGAGATTCCCGTAATGCTCACTGCTCCCCCCTCCCCCCACCGTTTCCTAAAATCTGACATGACGGGGGTGCCTTCAGGCCGACGACTTTATTTCATACTCTACTATCCTCGATGTTCACTTATCATACGCCCACGACGTTTTCTCCCAGGATGAGCAGCACAAGCTGTTGGAGGTTTTGGGGGAAATTTTGGAAACTCATGTCCGTTCGCTTTTTCCTGACGTGGAGAGTTGGAGTTGATGTTGACGAAGCGAGCGAATAGGAAGATCTGGCTCGTGAAATCTCTTGGGATTTGATTTCAGTTTTATTGCCCTTCCTCGAATCCCTGTCTCCGGCAACCGTTCAGTTGGCCGAATCACATATTGCGTTTGCAGCGGCCAAGGGAAACCCCCGGGAGGTGTTTATCAAGATTCTCGAGTCGTTATCCGCCATCAACTGGTCGCTGCCACTTACTGAGGATGAGGACGAATATGGCGATGGTGATGGTGATGATGATGATGGCGATGATGACGAGGAAGTGGTAGAGGCGAAACAAAGGTCGAGGAAAGAAACTACCGGAAATGCCTTGAGGAAATTCTATGCCTTGTTATCCGCCTTGTCTATTGTTCATCCAAGAATATTTACCAAATTTCCTTCGAGGTTTTTGTCCACGCAGTTGACGACATTGTTGGGAGTTTTTACGAAAGCTGTCCAATGGCTTGATAGACAGGACGTCGACGGGGCCCTGAGAGGGCTGCTGGAATTTGCGGAGCTCGTTAAGCCCACATTGGTGGTACCCCAGAAGCAGAGCGTAGTGAAAGGTGAGAGACCGCCGCTGCCACCACGCACCCTGACAAGCAGTACGAGCTCCTCGCCTGCACTGGTTCCCACGGATGGGAATGAACCAACCAAGGAACCTGAGGGGGATTCTCCGGAAACCACTCTCCAGGCCCGTCTTTTGCAGTCGTTCTTGTCGCATGTTCTGGAACTCTACCTTTTACGCACTCGGAATATCACGGGGAGGGGGTTGGTTGTTGGGTGGGCAGGGCAGTATGACTCTGAGGTTGTGAGAAAGGGTAGAAGCGAAGTTCCTGGCGGGAAGACTGCAATCGACGATGAAAGAGCCGAGAGGGCAGTGCAACGGGATGTTAAGGCTCTCACGGAAGACATCGAGGGATTGTGTGAGGTGTTGGGCTTAAAGGTGGATGAACTTGTGAAGATTTGTGAGAACCATCAAGGTAGGAGTTCTGTCGCTATCGGTAACAGTGCTATTTTAAGACTAATTGTCTCAGAGCCAGTTTCGCCCGGTGACGAGGACCACGAAGACCCAGCACCGCCCTCGTCAGCTGAGGACATTCCGCTCTCTAAAACGGGAGCCCTACTTCTCCTAGCGCAGCGGCTCACCCGCTATCCCCTCTCGTCCCTTAGTATATTCCCTAGCCATTCCGACATATCCCGTAACTTTTTGGTCAATGGATCCGGCCAGCATCAACCCGCTATCGTTGACGCAGTACTATTTCTCGGCGCCCTCGCCCTCCACCAGGGCGGAGGCCTGGGCAGTGCACCAGGACTGGACGACTTCCTACTCTACCTCCAAACTTTCGCCGCCATTTCGGCCACCTCCTCTTCCCCACAAGCACGATTTCTCGCACATTATCATGTGTCGACATGCATAAGCAAGCACCCTGACGAGGCGGTCAGACTAGCATACATAAAAGACACCCTAGAGCACTGCCCGTTTGAAACGCTCAAGGCTGCGGTGGTCGGCATTCTCAAGGACGAAATCCTATCCGCTTCTCTATCAACACCGCCAAAGTTAAACTCAATCTTTGCATCCCCAGTTTGTCTGGAAGAGCTATTTAACGTGCTTTTCCCCGAGGTGGAAATTGGCGATTTCGATGACTTTAAGAATTATTATCCAACACTCGTGGCAACTGCAAATTTTTACTACTTCCTTGTCCTTTCTCCCGCTTGTAGGGAGAAATTGGGAGTCGGGGAGAGGAAATTTGCGGAGAGGGTTGAGAGGAAATTTCTTACCTCGGTTGGGAGGGCGCTTGAGGGGATTAGTCCTGAAGGTGGAGGGATGGAAGCTGATATTCTGAAGGATGTTATCGAGAGGATTCGGGAGAAGGTTCAGGAGGTTTGCGTTTAGCCAGCAATGTGTGTCAATCATGGCATCCATCTGAGGGTAGAGCACGGGAAGTTTAATCTTTGACTTTTTTCCCTTTGCATGTTTATACTAGGGGTGGCGGATATATCTGGTATGATGGAGTGGAGGGGGTGTTTTTGTCATTCCGCTGGTCGCTGTCAAGATGCTGCCGAGGCTGGATTCAACTGTAGGATAGTGAATGCCCGTGTTTACACGATATTCTAGCTTGCGCGCTGGCTAAAGCTTGGCGAAATGTGGAGTCGATCCCAGTTGTTCGTTACCCACGGGCTGGTAGTTCAGGCAACTGGCGTTTGAAGCCTGCGACGGTGGAACCGCCCACCCGGCAAGACCAATCTGCTGTTGAAATTGGAATGGTACGATATAAGGTTTCCGGACGCGCTTGCTGTGTAACGATGTCTGAAGCCGATCTCCTGTGCAATAGGAGATGCTCCCTCTAATACCGGTTGGCACGATCGTTTCACTGAGTATCACTCGGGTTCATGATCTGGGCTGCCATATGATCCTAAATTAAGTTTGGAAAAAAAAAACGGTCAAGGTCTCAAGTGCTATCGGTTTTTGAGAAAAAATCCCCTCAAGTGCCACAGCAGATCACCAATACAGCATTGGGTGGCAACCAAGTTTTCATGTTTGGCCACCTACTGACCTGCAATCCTGATAATTTTCTTTTTTCAAAGCTACGATACTGCGAAGGTGGAAGACTAGTGGGCGGTATTATACATGATAAATGAAAGCAGCAGAAGTGGACACATGCCCACGGATCTGATAAGCCATGGGGAACTGTAAAGTATCCTGTCCCGCTCACCCTGCGCTCTAGCAGAATTGTATACAAGACCGGGGGGAGGCATTCAATTTGGTGCTTCCTGTCACTCTGATCGTGGACATGTTTGGCACGTCTTAATGAATGAATGAGGAAAACTGGAAATCTAACCTGGTCGAATGCTATCCATTGTATATAGTGGGTCTGGAGTGGCAATTGGAGGGAGCGGTGGAATCCGAAGGGAAATTTTTTTTTTTTTTTTTTCCGAAAACCTATGGCGTTTCGGACTTTGACCGTTATGATAGTTAAAGACGAGGAAATAAATCACTTTTCCCGCGAGCACAGCAGATATTCAGGAATCGGAAATTTGGGTATGATAAATCTCGCCATACATGCATCAGACTTGTAGAGCTGGAAAACGCCGGGCTGAACCATTTCTTTCAGTGCTTTTTTGTTTTTTTAATTGTCACCAGGCTTCCAACCGGGTGTCCATTCCCCCCCTACCACTCACATTCAGGCACCGATTGCGAATGCACCATTCGCGACTGGCCGGAGTCCCCCAGTCGAGAGGTCCCTGGGGAGGTATATAAACTAGCTATGCCCAGTGGGCTATCCCTCCGCACAGTGCAATATCCTACAGATCTTTCACCGTTGGGAAACCAGTCTGATAATACCTACCCTTCATTGGAAACAAATCCCCCCCCCCCCCAATCTCTGAGAAATATCTGAATATGAGGTCTGGGCTTCCTAAGAGTACAGTTACCAGCACAACTACGGCAACGGGTGGTAATGACCCTGATGTTGGAGGACCAGATGGGCCAGTTGATAATAGTGACACTCCCCTTCCTAAGCTTGAATTTCAGTCATGTTGGGTATGTGTTGCTCATTCTGCGTAGGGATCTGGTTTATGTGCATTGTTTGTTAGGATCCGCTGAGCCTGGGATGCGGAAAGCGGGGATGAGCGATTGGGGTAGTTTTGAATTTTTGTTGTTTTTGTAATCATCGTCTGCCTGTGTTTATGCCGTGCGAATGGGGTTCTGTGGTAGTTGTGGAGGGGTAACTCGTCCGTGGATCGGACAGGGAACTGCGCCGGTGCATTTCTGGCGGTTTTCTTGAAGATAGCCTACATTTTCGGAGAAGGAATGGGTGTTTTTGTGACTGGTGTGGAGATTGATCGGCGGGAAGCTTTTATTACCAGAATATATCTTTTTTTCCTTCTAAAAGCGGTGATAGGTACGGTAGCTCTTAGTGTGCTAAATCTGACTGTATAATCCCTATTGACTTTTCGGCGGGTATTGCTATGAGGATTGGGAACCTGTGTTCCTTGGCAGCGGAAATCCTAACCTGCATATACTCGTACTAGCACACATACACGGGGGTCTAGGAATGGCTTGAGATAATGGTTTCCAGACATCTTCAGAAGTTCTCTTTGACAAAAGACACAAAACAGCGCCGCGGGGGGGGCAAGTTAATATGGCCAAATGCCCTTCCCGTACAAGTACCTACATTTATCGCAATAGCAGACCACCTCAATAACTTTTGGAAGAAGAACAAAGAGGCCACTTTAGGAAGTCTTCCAGCGGCACCGATAAATAGGTGTTGAGCAAACTGAAACTGAGAGCACGAAACTTGCTGTATGATGCTGTGAAATGGGGGATTTCTCACAAAGCAATTTTGGTCGTCTATCGCTCCGTATTATACCATTGCGACTCTCGCTTAATCACGCTTTCTGGGTCGGCAAGTCACCCACGGCTTCATCTCGCTGGCGAAGTTATTGAAGTGCCTGCGTATCGGAAGTGTGGTTGAGTGCCTGTATGGTGAACGAGGCTTGCTGATGGAGGTCCCATAACGAACAGAGGGCGATGACTCGAAGCGCAGTGCAAACATGCCACTTGAGCAAAGTGATCGAACCTAAAGAGGTAGAATTCCTCACTTTATTTATCCCTCCCTCTGCGCCCTCTTTTTCCATACAGCAATGCTCATACCTGGAGGCAACCGAGTATCTGCGTACTGGACCCCTGGGAACCCCCCCTTGCCAGCGGGTCTGATGCCCTACAGTTAAGCAGTAGCGAATGCGGGCAGGCGGCTATAGGCACCGTATATGGTTGCCTCGTGTTTTGGAGTTAGCGTGAGGTTGAAATGATCAGGGCCAAATATGGATCCTGGGGAAAGCATAATAAATATCAAGAGAAACAAGAGATTACTACAAAAACCAGAAGCATTAGCCCCCCTCAACCCATGATTTCTATGTTACCAGGAGCAGGCCCTTAGGGTCTCAAGGGGGGCTGCTAGTATGATAGAGTTATTATTGTTTTGGTATTTATTTTCTGGGTACATCCCCGCGCATCGCTCATGTCCTGGCGGGTGTGCTCACGTGACTGACCATTGCTCGAGAGCCCTTCTATATAATACCGGTAGATATACATCTCCCCCAGGCTCTCAAGATTAGGGGCACAAGGATGCGTAAGCTGGTGAAGATGCAACTAATGGGTTGAAGCATGATGGAGGCCGTCGAGTGAGATTTGGTTGCTGCAGGAAGCCCCGGGGATAATGTTTGTAGCCGTGCATTGCTCTAGGCATCATTGAAAGTAAGATAATATTGATGGTTGGTCATCGCTACCTACCTGAAGTTCTTCCCTGGAGAATAAACCGAGTCGCCGGCCGTGATTTCAACTATGTTGCGTAAGAGACGCTTGGGGGTTAGCTGGGGTAAAGGAGCTTGTGCAAGATTGCCATAATAAGCGTAGACTGATGCTTCAATCCATAACCATAGATATCTCTATATGCCCACACATGTCAATGCCCACATTCATTCTCACGTACTCAAAAGGAAGGTTATGTGTGCATAAATTTCCTCTGAAACACCATACTTGTCTAATTCCGAAAGTGTGCAAGGAATCCTACCGGTACTTTGAATGAAATGAAGTAGGATCCGATGACTTTTAACTCTCTCCCATTACGCCTTGCTATCACACCTCCTTAGCTTACGATGAGACACAATGTCCTAATATCTGAATTGAATATCAGCACCCTATTTCTACCTTCCCCACTTTCTCTCTATCGTATTGGTATTACGAGTAGTAGCACCATTTCCTAGAAATACTGCACTATTCCGGTTCCAATATTTCCCTTCCTCTACACACACCGATCACCAATTGTTAGTAGGGTGGATGTGACATGATAAAAAAATCGACAAAGTCCAGACCTTCTTTAGGTTCCTGGATTAAAATTCTGCTAATTTGAAAAGATGGAGGCTGGACATGAGCGTACCTGCAGTACAATAGGCTGGCCCTCCAGATATATGGATACACAGTATGGATAAGGGTAGATACCCAACGCCGGCGATGCCGGCTGCCGTGCTCCTTTTCAACACGAGAAGTATTTTCTTGACAAGCACCTCTAAGCCTCCACCGGGATATCGAGATCTATAATTGCTAGGGGTGGCTATGAAAAGGATGGATTTTCCGAATTACCATTCCGCGTGTTGGAAGGTGTACTGAGGCCCTCTCTGCTCTAGTTACTTTGGCCATGCTAGATATTGGTAGTTCCAGAAAATTAAATTTTGGTGGGGGCTTATAAGTTGTGTTGTGATGGAGTTTGCTATCAGAATGCGTAGTGGTGAGGGAACGGAACAGTATAGAGACTCGTTATGGGGGGATAGTTAGGAAAGGTGCGTACTTCGTCTTGCGTTCTCTCTATCTCTAACTAATCGGTAATGACAGGTGTGTAAGCAAAACATCATTCCGCACATGTCCAAGTTCCTCTAGCCACTTCTGTCATAGCGGAGGAAAGACATATCTCTAGAATCCTTTTCCTTCGGACAAATCTATGATACTTCCGAACACTGAAACATACTCCCATGACTGCTATAAACAACTTTGTCCTTTCAGCACACTTCCCATGCCTTCCGTGACCAACCACAACACACTATCTCTATCGATTAAAACAAGTTGTCACATGAACAGCAATCTATAATAGAATTAATACCAGTCCTGTGCCACGAGTGATGTTCGGTGATGGATCCCCGAAGTGTTCAGCTACTGTTACTATGCAAAGAATATCATCTCTTTTCTTGAAAGCCCGCATAGATTTCTTTTGTGAGTACTGGATGGGTGTGGCGGTAATGAGTTTCAGAGGAACATATCACGACTCTAGAGCAGACTCTTACGGCTATTCCGCCCTTTGTTGGTGTTGTGAGGGGCCAGTAGAAGGATAAATGGGGCTTGGACTCTTTATTCAAAACTTCGCTAGTTCACGTACCCCTTGTGTTCAATTCGATTCAATGCGTTCTGACCCCGTAATCAAATGGGTTGAAGAGAGGGAGCTCCGTAAGCAAGGTTTTTCTCAAATGTAGAAACCAAGGCGGGTGAGAGCGTCGGATTTGGTGCTTGTCCGCCATATGAACTGGCCTCTTTTCATCTAGTTTCTCTTACTACTGGTTACCCCCCACCACCCCTTCCGGCTCCCTTTCGTGTTTGGCTCCATTCGTCTATTCTTTGTATTTTGTTTGCTTGTTTGTCTCACAACTTCACAACCACACTATATTCAACTGCAGTCTGCCCATTTCCATATCACTTGCCCGTCATTGCCCTCCCAAGCCTCTCACAGGGTATCCATACCAAATCCGTTGATATTCCCGTAAAGATACAAAGGTGTTTTTGTTTTACTTTTACTTCTTGACAGCATTCCTCAACACTTTCTCCGCTCACGGGAACGTTCCCGAATCCCTCTCTATATATCCTCACTGCAAACACGGGGAGGTCCGGGTTTTAGGAAAGAGAAACCGTGCAGCCGTAATTCATTATTCTTTCCCAAACATTTGTTCCGCTCCTTCTGCTGCTCTCATTTTTCATGTTTGATATCTCATAGTCTCTTTGTCATCCGGTTTGCTTAACATTTTGGAATGTGCTTCCCGTTACTCTCTCGCATCAAGCCACAATGCCAGGAGGCTGGCTTATCATAATTACCTGAAAGTGTGCATGGACATGCAGTAAACTAATTTTTCCTATCTGGACTTCCCCTCGCTCCCGCAAGTTTTCCATGAATGGGGTTGTCATAGGTGCCGATGTTCTATCATTATCTCAACAGCTCCCCAGTGCCTCTTTCTCTATCAATGGCATTCGCGGGTGTTCCATCCTCCGGCACCTTGCCGCATCAACACACTAGTACCCTCAACTGCAGGAACTGAAAAATCTTCCCACAACGGCTGTGCCTAGCCGTAACCTTCTATCTGTTTGCTAGAGCAGCCAGAAGAGTTCTCAAGTTCTGGGTCTATTGGAAATTGCCTGCTGGAGCGAATATGAGAGTTATGCCTCTCTAAAAAACCGCAAGAGAAGTTAGTAGGATAGAGCCATTTTCTCTGAAAACAAAAAAAGTTGTAATTGATATTAGTGCACAAAAATATAACCTCTAATATGGGGAGGGTCTTTGCTATTTTCTTCATTTGTGCCCGTAATATATCATATATCCCTCTGGGCAATGTGAAGGTGTTTGCTGTTAGAGTCAGGCAGATGGGTGTGAGGTACTTGGATACTGTTTTTAGCATTTGCTGTTCATCACCGCCTATATTTTGCTATAGAAACTACCAGCCGGAGGGTAAATCAGTCTACTAGTGCACTAACCTTTGAATCCAAAATAAATGTATTGTCATTGGGGGAACAAAATCTATATGCGCCGTTTTTATTTCATTTCCGAGCTTACATGAATGGTTTCTACCACCATTTTGGATGAAAGATTGCTAGTAGAACGGACTCAAATTTTTTTGTAGTATGATACTTTATTTATGAGAGAGAAAAAGCCTCTAATAATGATATCTGCTCCCAGACCAGCCGAAATAAGAATACAGAAAAACGTGCCTGTAACAGAAACTAAACCTCATGCTACCGGTTCAAGCAAGGAATGGAATCTATGATCCGCTCCCATCTAGATCTCCTCAACCCTTCGTGGTCTCTAAGGCACCTGTAACTGGTTCGTATTGTTGGGCTTCTGACATATCACGCTTCTCAGTACCCCCTACCCACTTGTTCACCGTTCCCCTGTAACTAGCAGGACAATTCAACGGGACAAGAGGGGAACGGGAGGAAATAGCGAGGGCATACCAGAGATCTGCTCTGAACTTTGACTCAAGCTCCTTGATGTTTGCCTTGAGTTCACTGTGGCGTTCTCTGGCGTCCTTCTTGATCGTTACGATTTCCTCCTTTATCCCTTCAATGCTCTTCCTTAGCTCTTCACTGTCCTTCTTTCGATCCCCGTTGTTCTTATTTGTTGACCAGACGACTGCCGCAGAGCCAAGGCATCCCGCAGCGCATGTGCTTAAGGGGTTCGCATAAGCGGAAATAAATGCTATCATAAGATATCATTAGCTGGCTTCCATTGGCTGAAATGCAACCCTATCGACACGTACCAGAAAAAACCATGCTTGATACTTAGTCGCGAAGGAGAACAGGTTCTTAATAACACCGAATGAGTTGCGAACTGTGACCATAGCGAGTTAGCTTAGAATATACTAGCTAGTAGAAGGATAGATCATAATGCAACGCTGGATCGGCTTACCTTGTTGTTAATGCACTTAATTCGGTGGTGCGTCTCTATGGTGTGCGTTTGAGTAGAATTGTATCTTTTCCTCCTGACACGGGGGGCACCCCTCGTCTTATAGACAAAATACAACTGCGGCAGCGCCACACGCTAGTCATTGTCTCATCCCTGCGCCACAATATAGTTTAGCGTGGATTTATAGTATTTCTGGGCCACGCGGGAGCCTTTGGAGAAATGTGGATGACGGTCTGAACCCTGCTCACGCTTCAAAGACATTTTTGCGGAGAAAAGTTCAGGGCTGCCGCATGCACTGCCAAAGCATCACGCATAGGTCCCGTGAAAAATATGCAATACTGTAGATTCGGGGAGAGACTAGAAAAACAAGAACGCACCAGACCACACCGGGGGAGGCGGCTCCAGCGACATGGCACCCAGTTCAGCGGTGCCGGAACGACGCCTTCCCGCAGGATAACGTATCCGGCAGACTTACAGTCGCGCCCCGTCGTCCCGGACGGCCAAAATCCTGAGAATCCGTCCGGGACAGCGAGTTATCCGGGACAACAGGTTTGGTTTTGGTGTGAAGAAATTTATAATTCGTAGGAATTCATCCGGGACGCCGAAGAATCCGGGAGAGCGAGGTCCGGGACAGCGGGGTGCCACTGTAGCAGCCAGTATTGGATTTTCACTCTCTCACACCGGAGGGATTGTTGCTTTTAGGTCCCTGGATGGTCCCCCAGTTTGTCCCATTTTTCAAGGGTTTCTTTCCCGATTACAGATTCGAATTTTATAGATTGTTTTGGAAGGCAGACCCTCTTTTAAGAACAAACCTACCATTAACAGCTGAGACGGCCTACTGGATGGGAGGGTTGAAACGAGAGTTCTCTCCCTTATTCTATCTCCATTTAGTAATCCACACCACTAGCTTAAAAAGGACAACATGTGTGCGGCGGGTACAATCACCATTGGGCGCAATAGAAATTACTGTAGCGTAACAGTTCCTCGGTCTCAGTTGGTGAGCACTCTTCGGTCTAGATCCTCAATTGTTTTTGGGTTACATTGTTCCTGAATAGGTTGTCGCACACTCGTGGAGCATGCGGTATGGATCAGATTTTGAGGGGGGGCTTTAGGATGCTACGCGGGGCTGTGAAGGACTCTAACCTATAGGTATTCTTATCCTTATTTTTTTTCGGATAGTTTAGATAGCACGAATTCCCCCACTATTGTGACCGTTCTGCGACACTTTACGCCGATTTGAAGCCAACTTCTGTACTATCATACCGGTAAGGTAGGTAGTAGGCAACAGTGGTGCAGACAGATTGCAGAACATGTCTATGCGGGCGACCGGCGGTCAAGTATCGCTTCATTATTGTGGTCCACCTCTAATTCCCGGACTCATCGATCCAATATTACTTTGAGCTCCGCTTGCTTCCATATTGGGTTTGGAGGTCGGGTGCTGGTGTTTTCGGGTAGGGAGTAGGCATTCTTCTGGGTTTGGTAGTGCAGGCGGCCAGGTGGGTGAGGGGGTTGCGGTGTTGCGCCATTTTTGTCCGCTCTTGGGGGTTTTTTTGGGGTCCGAGTGCTAAGTCATGATTTCACTAATCTGGGCTAGGGTTATCACCAGCCACTTTGTCCTAACCCCTAGTAAGGTTCGCCACCCGCGTCCGCATACAGCCGCATCTCAATCTTAAACCTGACTTTCCAATCACCAGTACTGTCCACACGTCCTCGCTCACCATCGCTATAACGTCAACACAAATGCCCCCTCGTCCCTCCTCCTCATCAAACTTAACGAAATCCTACATCCTCCGCGCCTCGCACCTCCTCCTCCCGGCCGCCCCATCCCTCTCCGCCGCCCTCCTCTCGACCCTGCCGGCTGCCCAATCTACCCCGGGAATATCCAACATATGCAAGTCCTGCGGTGTGATGTTAATACCTGGCTGGAACGCGCACGTACGTACTCTCCCGCGCGGCAAGGAGAAGGCGCGGCAAGCTACGCTGCCGAAGACCACGGTGGTGGTGCGGGAGTGCCGGAGTTGTGGGGGTGAGAACCGGTCGGAGGTTGGGAAGCCGAGGATTAAGCGGAGGAAGGGAAAGGAAGGCGGTGGGGCAAAGAAGGTAGAGGTGGGAAGGAAGGTGGATAGAGGCGGGAATCAGGGAAGTAAAGCCAGGGCGAAGAAGAGGAAGGGGGGTTTGTTGGCAGATGCGCTTGCGAGGCAGAGGAAGAGTGGCGGTAGTGGAGGGGGTGCCGGAGCAGGCGTGGGGGGGTTTGGTTTAGATTTGGTGGATTTGATGAAAATGGGGTGATGTTTGATTGTATTTCAGCTCTCTCAGCTGCACGAGGCGTTGAGTGGATGGGATGTGTTCTCTGCCAGGAATCTACCTGTAGTCTCTGATCCCTGTGGACCTTGTGACAGCAGCATACTAGTATCCTGCATACACCACCGTGAGCATTTCTTGTCATCGGGTCACTCTTGTCTTGGTCGCCTCAAGCAGCTGGGCTTTATGAAGCTCCCCGCTGTAGAAGGACCCTATTGTGAGGTGAGGATTCTCAAGATGCCATGGTAGGCGAGGAGAGGAGGTTGGTTTCCCCCCCTTGGGAGCTGCGGGGAGGGCTCGCGTCCTGTGGACACTCGATGGGTAAATTACGTTACTGGTGTCGTGCCGATCGTGCTGGCGATAACCGGAAGATTGCAATATTCCAGTGTCTCGTGTGGGTTACCGTATGCATGTGCCGGGCACGGAACCCTGGTCTCCCCTGTGCGTTCCTCGCCTGATCGCCTCATCCCAGCCTCGACGATGATACAACCGTCAACCATTTACCCCACCGCCCCATCCGACTGACAACTTCCTCTCCAACCATCGCCGCCTTTCCATCACACGCCCAACTGCCCCTCTCGCACCGTTTCAACCCAAGTTCCCCCAGCGACCGCTCCTACTAGTGCTTCGATCCTCGGGCACCGGGCATCATGGCGGCCTACCAGTCGCACAGTATACCCGCGACAACCCCGCGTGACCCGGCATGACTAGTCTACCAATCACGCGTAAAACCACGCGCAGCGACCAAGAGCCCCTAAAACCGAGAACTCTTCCACAACCAAGATTACTTGGGAAACACCACTTTACATTCACCACCTTTTTCTTTCGAAATGCCCATAGCGAGCGGTTCAACGCCAACGTGTAGCACGAGCACACAGAGCACCGAAGCAGAGGAGTACTTTAATTCGGGCGTCGTTCGGAGTCTGAGCTATAGGTCTACGACTCGGTCGCCTAGGAGTCCGTTTCCGCCTGGAGTGGCTGGTACGGTGGGGGGAAGAGTAGGAGCTGATTCGCAGGTTACGATTACACCGGCGAACGCTCACACTACTACTACCGGAGGCCCCGGCTCGCAACATGCTCCGAGTACGAACCCGAGCCCCGTTTCGAGTTTGAGTGGTACCGGGAGTGTCGGTGTCTCGGTAGTTACACCCGGACTCGGGGTGAGTGCAAGGACGAGTATGAATCCAAGCCCGAGTCCAAGTTTCAACACCGGCATGCACGCGACAGTTCAGGAAGGTGAAGAACAGCGCACCCAACCCAGGGACCACACCGACCACCACTCCCACCATCCACACGCCCATCCACACCCCCTCTCTCACCATCACCATGACACAAAAACTAGTCTCCACGATGTAACTCCAAGCACCTTTTCCTGGTCCACTTCCAATCATGAGCCAGATCCACATTATGAGAGGCTTGTATTCGACTACCGTGTCATCGCACAGTCCATGCATGCATACAGACATATATCGATATTCCGGCGATTTGGGAGACTATCTATGGCGAATCTGCTATACTACCAGTACGAGCTCGCCGAGATCGAGAGGGCGCTTGGAGGTATTGATCGGGAGGAAACAAGGTGGATGCAGACCGGGAGCGAGAGTGAGAATGTCGGGGTAGAGTTAAAAGAGACGCGGTTTAAACTTATGAGGATGTTAAGAGAAACCCTCAAAAACTACTGTACTCCTGCCCCTCGTCTACCGTCCGCCCCCGCATATGACTAACATGACGCAAAGACGAAGCCCTCCTCCTCCAGGAACAGATCTTCACCTCCCTGGACCCACCCCGCACCGCAGACAGCAACCTCCTATCCGCCCTAGAGGACCCCAGCACTCCGCCCCTAACTGTCGGTGATCCCTTCAGCAAGAACACCGACGACCTCGTCGCGCTGGGCCTCGGCGGGCGCGATTCTCTGGAAAAATTGGTCGGCAGAATCATCCCACGGATCTTCCCTCACCGAAACCCCTCCGTCGAGGACGTGCGCCAGCGGAATATGTCGCAACGCGACATAGCATCTATATTCTCCCCGTTTACAAGGAGGATCACGAGGATGGTGATTGCCCTTGCCACGGCACTGCTGATGTTGGGGCCTATGATTATCTTGCAGTTTTTGGAGAGCGATCCGTGGAAGTTGGTTTGTATTAGTCTTTTCACGATAGTGTTGGCGGTGCTGGTCGCGCTGGGGACGAGGGGCCGGGGGGAGGCGATTGTCATGGTTATCGCAGCGTATTCGGCAGTCCTTGTGGTGTTTGTCCAGGGGAATGGGGCCTGCGGCGAAGGGGGGAGTTGTGGTGGACGGGGGTAGTCTAAGTGCGAGCCGGGATTTGTAGTTTTTCCTCTCTCATATTTGGTCTTGGAGGTTCTCTCTTTTTCTCATTTTTCCTATCATGATTTCGCATCGTGGCGTTTGGTGCATGTTTACCCTAATCAATATAATATGATACTCCGACCTCTTTCACGTATGATACCGCACGGTATTGACCACCACCACACCCACCGTTCGTTCACCCCCAGCCTACTCTACGACACGATACCGTCGAGCAAGTATTGCACAAGCACTTTACCAGTCAGACAGGCATTCCCTACAAACTCACCGTCCGAGACCACCGATCCGGCACACATTGACTCATAGACGCCAAAATCCGCAAGAACCCCAACATCTCGTACTGGTGTCGCTACCGCACTTCACAAGTATCACGCTCGCCTTGGGCAATGCTTACCGAGGAGATTTCGCTACTACCGTCACCCCTTGGACCGCGTTGTAAGTTGATCGTGTGCTCGTACATAACTTATCATCATACCCGTCCAGTGCATACCAGTATCACCGGGGCAACGGCGCTAACCATTCCAAATGCGCGCTGGTGCTATTCCCCCGAGGCTCAACTTTGCACAACTCTGAAGAACGCCGGCAAGCCCCTGAACGTTATTATTGAGGTTTGGCGGCGGCGTGCGTTGTTCAAGCTGGTGCAGAGATGCGTGCCATGGATTGGGATACTGAGTTTATAGCTCGGTTTCCAGCGACGGCTGTCTTTTGATGCGCTCTCTAAGTTACCCATAACGTACCATACCGTATTGGACGGGACAGGACAGGGAAGAGGGTCGGACGAGGGAGTGAGTCAGGTAATTAACAACTCACTGACAATTTCGAGATCTGGAGATCCCAATTGATGTCTAACAGCAGGGGTACGGTGGAAGGGTAGGAGATATTTCTGATGGCGTAGCATGTTGGATACCGGTATTCCGTTTTTGAGCGATCCATTTCTGCGTCTGGCCCTCTTCCCGGTCCGATAACGTTGAGTCCCCTGGTGAGAGTTTAGGAAATTGTTGCTCGGCTTGGGGTGTGTTTCGTTTGGGAAGGCATGGCGGTCATTGGTCTCGATGCTGCTCATGGCTAAGGGTGTGGATATCGTAGGGTACCGTAGTCTCACCCCTTTCTAAAAATCCCCGAGGCTGGTGTGTTCCAGCGAGGGGCCTCCGTAGTGGGAATATCGGTGGGCGGGCACTCGCTCTGGCTTGGTGTTACAATAATAATATTATTATTATGATATTATTATGTCAGTCTTCCAGGAGTGGGATTGAGGATTACCGGTAGAGGCTGTTTGGCAAAACCCGAAGGAAAAAAAGCGCCACATCCAATTGCGTTTTGTGACGATTTGGCCTGTATTCGAGCGGAATTGCCCCCAATTTCGCACTATTTGTGCTCATGGAACCTTAACGTCCCGGAGAGTTCTCTACTCACATCAGGTTTGGCGTGCTTACGGTTGGTATCTGTATGAACCCTTGAGATTCTTGTTTTCCCTTAATCGATGGGCAGGATGGTCGGGTGTATTTTCTGTAGGCTGTAATTCGTTGGAGTGGTGGGTGGTATACCATGGGGCCGGTGAGAGTTGAGAGATGCTTCCCCGGCGAAGGACCTCACCATCGTTTGGAGGGCAGGTCGGAGGAGCGGAGCAGCAAGTAGAAGACTAGGGATTGAGGAGGCCCGTGACGGAGAGGCCGATTGTGGATGCCATTCCTGTGCCTACGTAAGGGTTAAAATTAGAGGTATGTCGGGGACTAGAGCGTATGGAATGGGACAGGACAGAATAGAGGAATAGAGGTTTGGCCGTCTTCCCGAAAGCTTAAATTTCCGAATTTCCGAATTTTAGTTATTAACACTAAAACGTGGTGCATTCACCCCCGTGTGTGGGGCTCCCCGGCGGGTTCCTGGTGATGTATTCTCCTACGATCTTGTGGCGACGGTCCTTTGGTGCGTGGTGATGCGCTTGCATCATGCAAGTGTATCGTAGCTGGCTGGGGCTCGGAAAAGCTTGCTGCAGCCTCTGCTCGCCCGTTCCAAAAGTGTGCGAAAATCTTGACACGGTTTAGGACTAAGAAGCCCGCCGGATTTTCGAACTCTCCCTTGGGATTGCTAGGCGCCGCAAGACCCGCAATGTGAACGCCACCTTATGAGGCAGCTAAAGGGTTCTTTGGCCCATCTATATTCCGGGGGAAGGGCTCAAAAGTATGCAGGGGAATTTTGCGTCGGTCCTGTCCAGTAGCCAGCTTTCAAAGTTTGATATAATACCCGAGAGGCGCTTTCATAGCCCCTGCCAAGACTGCCCCCCCTTTTCAATTTTTTTTTCTGTGGAAACAACCCGAGCTCGGGTAATTCTGTATTCTCGCGATTCAAGGATTTAGAAAATCCATGAGATGTAAGATACTGGCTCGGCCTGCCGTGGTCAAGACGAGTATGATGATACCCGCGGTAAGCCATTTTATGGCTATTTTTTCACTCTCGCCAAACTCTTACCGTCTACTTTTTCGGTTGTTGCGCTACACAAAAATAACCGTTTTGTCCGCTCTTTCTTGCGTCGCGATTACTTGCTAGGGGTGGGGGATGGGTGGCGTAAGGTTTCCGTTGCCGAGCGCCGTGGGAGCCCGGGCGGCTTGGGGGGGGGGAGGCGTTTGCGGGGATTGGTTCAAAGCTGTGAATGATTTCAGGGCGGTGGGGTAGGCTCCTAGGGGTGCGAATGCTCCAATAAGAGGAGGAGCGGGGAAGGATCAGGGGGATATGTAGGGAGTCAGTTTCTTCAGGTTATTAGATTGCTCCACCCGTCCCTTGGGGGTGGTGGATCTTCGGAACCTTGTTCCACCTGGTCACTTGGCTGGGGCCCTGGGGGTGCACATTTAGTGGATCAAGGGAATCCCATTAGCGAGTGTCTTAAGGGTACGGTACAGCCCACCCATTGGTAGGCCACGTGAGGCTAGCACTCGGGATGAAGACTCGGAATGCTAGCTCCAGAAACTAGGACTCTAGGCTCTGATAATGGCCAGATGGGGCGACTGTCAATACCCGGTGCTAGTGGAGATTTCGGTGGGGCGACCACCAAGGAGTCACTGCTGGCCTATATCTAGGTAGGCCAGAAAACTCCAAGTTACCGGGTAGCTTAGAAGACCAGGGGCTACCACAATCCCGGGTTTGAACCAAAAGTGGTCATTGCTCAATCAAACACTTCACAACAGCGAATTTTGCTCATGGTAACGTATTTTTTCTTTCTAGCCGAGATTCTTTAAAGTTCTGCTATGTCTGGATGGAGTCTGGGTTCCTGGAGCCTCCTGGGTTGACATGCTCGGGCACCGGTAGTAGAGGGGGAGATGAGGGGGGAAGATACCGTAGCGAATAACCTTATCAACATTTGACCCCGTTTTTTCTTCTCAGTATTGGATAAGTTAGCATCCCGTAGTCATTTGAGATTATTTGGGGAGGTGCCCCAAAGCAAATTTTCCGATTCCGGCGACGGGTGCTTGTATTACAGGAATCCAGAGCTATCATGACTGACGCAGATCTCCTATCCCTCCAGTCGGTGAGTATTTCCCCAAATTTGAGGCTTGGAAATCCCCTAAATCGCTTGGGGCACTCCTTTTGACCCCTCCTTTTCCGGGAGAGCCTTAGGGGATCCTATTCTGGGGTCTGAATCTTTGAATTCTCCTGAGTTCTTGCCCGGATTCACCCTAGTTCTTGAGAAAACGTGCCGTAAGTATAATAGCCCATCTTTCGCCCCCCCCCCCCTCTGTTTCCTATCCCTTCCAATATTTTATTAGAGTTCTGGGTCGCCCAGAATGGGATCTCATTCCCTCTTCCTCGCCTGGATCCGCAAACAAAATAGGGTCAGGATTTTGGGCCCTGAATTCCGGGCCGGTTATTATCTAGAGGGGTTTGTAGTCTAGCTGAGGTTCATATGTGGGAGTCTCATCACCCTGACTCAGCCCAGCTCAAGCTGGAGATTCGTAGTTCATGGACCCCAAACTGGGAACTCAATTGCCGTACCGGTCGGGCTCTGAAGGTATGATACTTTGCGAGTTGGCTCGGCGGCTTCGATGTGCCCCGTATAATTAGTGCAGAGCTTGGTGGAGTGGGGGAGGTACAAGCACCATGGAATTACTAAATTTCTCCCCTGGAAATATTTCAGGCAAACAACACCAACCCCCGCTTTGGATCTTCAATTAACAACCCAAGTTTACTCTTCAGAATGAGTCACTCATCTGTAGATTTTTTGTGCTAGCGGTGGGCTTGAAATGTGAGGTAGAGTATCACTTCATGTCCCATGGGCGCTCGCTCTGAGCAGTAGTATTCTAGTACATATCCTGGATCTGAACGGACACAACGAGGCTCCCTGATCCACAGTCAATATTTGTAACCCCCGACTAGAACGCAATAGCATCTCTCGGAGTTAGCGCAGACCCGAGAGTAAGAATAGCAATGATGGGAATATTTGACTGGTCCACCACTGTACCCTATTTTTAACGATCCCTCAAAGAGATCACCACTACCTAACAATTGGTGACAACTTGGTTGCGCGGTGGTGCGTTTGGAAAGAGGTGGTCAGTACCGATATACGAAGTTGGAGCCGAGGCGCAAATTTAGAGCTTTGTGTATGTAGATTTGATTTAGACTTGATCTGTAAAGACTTGGGGGAATATGAAGAAGGCATCTGTGTTATCTGTAGGAGAGATTAGCTAGCGGCCGATCAATCAAGGATGTGTGCACTGAAACCTTTTTATAGGGCTATCTTGAAGACATATCTACCGGGGGGTGTAGGGTGTTGGTTTAGAAGCTTTGGTGAAGAGTTGGCCATTGTGGGGCTCCTTCATTCTTAGAGGTTTCTCGCCTGTACTACCCGCTAGAGTGTCGGCAATAAATAAGATCAGCGCACCACATCGTAAAATCACCCGATAGAACACACGACACCTAAGAACTATCCATCTTAAGCACACTCACTCACAAATCGAGTTGAATTTGTGCTTCCTTCTGTACCCGCTAAAGGGTGGCCCCAGAAACTGTTTACCATAGGGACGTTTAAGGGGGGATGGTCGTGAAGGATAGAGTCTGGTGTATCACAATACCGGGTGGCGCCAAGAGTTGCTATCGCATTGGGGATCGGATCTAATCCTGGATACCGGGCTCTAGGTTGCCGTTGTCACCGGCCTCACAGACTGCTTGCGATAAACGCTCTCCAGGCGAACGTCAGGTGTCTCCGAGCAACGCCTATTGTCACGAAATTTAGGGGAAGGGACATGGAAGAAAGAACCTACGATTTCCATATTCCAGCACCGCAGAGGACCGATATACTCTATGCATTTAGCGGTCACTGTAAGTAATCGATTTAATGTTAGGAAGGTTATATGCTTAGTCAGGTGTGCTCTAGAGCCTCACCTCGGCATCCACTGGATGGGCGCTGGGCGGTCGAATAGTTGGATCCTGAGAAGCCGCCATCCGCCACGTCAGTATTGTCAATATTCGAGTGATAGGTGGTGATTAAGAAACCCTCTGCTCTCCCCTCCCCCGGAGGAGAATAAGTCTCCAGGAGCCTGGCCGGAGCTCAGAGGTCTTGGTGCAGAGTGGACTAGCTCTTCGTAGCTAATATCCCTTGGATCTGTTACACACAGTTCCTGGGGACAGTTCTCGTGAGGAGTGTGGCGTGACCTTGGCTTCCCAGTAGTGTCTTGAAACTGAACATTTTCCGGTGGGATAGCGCTTCCTTTGAAATCCCCGGAGCCTACAGACACCGCAAGCTTGGAACGTTACTGCCACCCTTTGGTGTCATTCTGCATGTACGGGGTATTATGTTGCGATTAGGTGATGACTTGCTATTTCTAGATTTAAGCTCAAGCCATGTGATAGGTGTTGTGTTCAAACTTAAAGTATATTTGGTATCATAGTAAGGATGCTATTGGTCCGGGTGGGTGGTGGTATGGTAGGTTCATCACTGGTATCAAATGCCTGGTTCGCTTGACTAAAGGGGAATATTTTTCTCTTTTAATTGGGTTATGTCATCCTGAGCACTTTCCATCGTCCGAATTCCTTCCATCGATGTACCCAATAGCCCGAGCTCAGCCATGATTATGGAAACGGTACTGTACAAATAGGAGGCCATTCCTCTAGGAATTAAGACTTTTTCTACCCACTGAAACTTTGAGACCTCCTTTTGCTCCGCCGTTAACTCACATTTCTGGGAATTTGCCCCCCTTGTTCGTAGGTGTTTCGAGGGAGAACTACTGGCTGTCAGGAACCCGTGACCTTGGCTCAGCCCAATATGAAGGGAAGGTTTTTATCAGCGGCAGCATTGCTAGTGCACCCTGTAGCCCTAGCTTCTACGAATCCTGTTTCAATACACCCAGAGACAACTCCGACTTCTCTGTCCATTTCCGTAATGACTATAATCCAACCATCACAGACAATTCAGATGTTAGTATCAAAATCTGTTCTTATCCCGCCACGGACCCTCCGAGATATCTCCTAACGGCTAGTTTGTAGCCCATCTCATCTAGCAAAAATATCTGTACCGGAGACCATCGCCAGTTCTGCCAATGTGTGTGGGGGGTATCCTACCCTTGTTCCTCTACCACCTGCTGTCGCATTTACCGCTAGTGTGTTTGATGAGATACCCACCAAGATATTCGTGACCACAGAGATTATCAGAGAAACCGGCTTCCCGTTTGCAAAGAGCAATATACCTAAAGGTGAGCCTAGGAAATCATTATGGGGATACCTGAAGCCACTCAACTCTTCCAGAGTTGGGGGAGTAGCCAAGAGGGAGGTGAGAACATACGGAGAGAAATCATTCCAAGAGAGCGGGGTCTCACAGTGGTCTTACCTGGATTTATTCCCTCCGATATCAACCCAACCTCCATCCTTAAGATTCCCGGTAATGCATGGGCACGCCCAGGATGCCATGCATGTCGCTAAAGGGAGGTCGAGCACAATTCACACAAACGTGCGTCTACCTATGTACCATTGATTCATCACAGACTATGAACTAATACGGTGGTTTACAGAAATTCTATACCAACTTCTTCATTGGAGATCGCCACCAGCCCATTTTCCCCATGCCATATAACCTGGCATGGGTGAATGGAACCCGAGGTCTCTTAGGTTTGGCGGTTGACACTATTGATCTCACGAAAAGGAAGTTCGGACCGAAAAACGGGCCTGGCGGTGCGGCTGAATACTATTCCAATGCTTTCAACCCGAGCATCATCCTTGGCTCGACGGAGCTTAGGAAAGGTGTTTCAGATATCAGGGTCTTTGACCCAGCGGGCCAAAGTGCGAGGGTTCGCATATACGCTGACCATAATAGATATAATCGTTCTATTCAGGATAGAGTACGTGCCAGGAAGATAATTGACATACCGATTTGCAATGGTATGGGGTTCGTGAGTGCAGAGTATCGCGGTTTGACTCCAGTGTGTGTATCAGACTCCCTATTGTCTATGCCCTCCGTGTTAACCATGTAAGAGAATATCTACTGTCGCAGCCTTTGAGGATATTAGGCAGCTGTCATCGGACAACAAATTGATTACCAAGTACCTTCTACGCTTGGTGGGCAATGCGAGCACCTGGCTTGTGTATGCTCACCACCGCTCTATAGAAGAGGCTGAATCTGCCCCTTTCCGACTCCGAATTGTGGGAACTTCTCGACTTGAAGGACGACATCGTTTCACCGGCTTGTTGCAGGTGGCTCATTTGTCCACGGATAATCGCGGACATGCAGGGAGGGAAGCCCTCCTCGATTACACCACTGGAAACTATTGTGCGGGAGTAGAAATCCGTGCACACATTACGGGGCCCAATGCCGATAGGGGAGAATACCAGATGCGATTCAAGCGTGGTGGACAGAGAAGATCGCCTCTTGTAAGAATATGTTTTCCCATTTGTTCGATACTTGCTAAGTACTTCTAACCCGCTGAAGTTGATGTATGCTTTGCCGCATCACGTCAAGACATTTCAAAACTCCACAATGGCAAATATCCACAGAGTCTTCAAACTACCGAGCCCAGCCAAAGGCATGATGTACGGAGTTATTGCTGATTCGTGGCGATTGAAAGTTGAGTCATTACCTGTGGAGATTGGCTGGCTTCCGCTAGGAGGGAGGGGTTGTGCGTCTTTCCCCCCTGAGGCTCTCCGACAGATATATGCAGTTGCTCGGGTCGAAGTGGCACAGAATCTCACCATGCAAACACATGCCAACCCGAGCATATACTTTTCTGGAAAGGTATGGGTCTCCCCCGCCTCGCTCAGAGCCCCATTAATTTTCTTAGGCGTACGCGAAATACGCGTTTCTCTGTTACTCGACCCTGCATGTTTTAAAAGATCCGAGTCTCACTCAATTTTGTCTGTCTAAACTCAAGAAGGATTTTACGCTGTTCGCCGAGAACAGGCAACAAAATAGAATGGTCTATGACAGTAAGTTGCTACCTGACCCTCATGCATCCAAGAGTGTTCTCACGACCCTCTAGCTACATGGGGAGGGGTTGCTTCCGTCCAGGCCTTTGGAGGAGCGGACCCAACAGGAGATACAGATTTTGGAAACTATCTCTACAACGATCATCACTTCCACTATTCCTATCACATCCAGGCTGCGGCTTTACTCGTCCAACTTGATAAGGATCTTGGTAATTCTGATGTCTGGTTCCGAAAAAACGGTGAATGGGTGAACAACCTACTCCGAGACGTAAGCTCTATTTATTAAGATGTTTCGTGCTTCTGTCTGTTAACTAGGCACAGTACGCCAACCCGTCCAGGGAAGACCCATATTTCCCAGTATTCCGTAACTTTGATTGGTACCACGGTCATTCTTGGGCAAGGGGACTTGTAAGCTGCGGGGATTCGAAAGACGAGGAGTCTTCTTCTGAGGATTTCAACTCGCTGTACGCACAGAAGCTTTGGGGGATTGCCATCAACGATCGATCGATGATTGCCCGTGCTAACTTGATGCTCGGAATTCTCAAAGTATCTCTCAATGAGTACATGCTTATGTCAAAGGGAAATAAGAATCACCCGAAAGAGTTCGTCGGCAACCTTGTGACCGGTATCCTAGCCGAAAGCAAGGCGGACCACAAAACCTACTTTGGGGTGCACAAGGAATATGTCCAAGGGTAAGCTACCCTGGGCGATCTTTGCTCAATCGCCTTCACTAACCCAACTCAAGAATCCATATGATCCCGGTAACCGCAATGTCACCATACATCCGCTCCGCCGATTTCTGCGAACTTGAGTACAAGACATACTTCTCGAAGGGTTTACACTATGGTAGATCGGGAGCGGACAGACTCTGGGCAGGAATCATTGAAGCCAATCGAGCGATTTTTGACGCGAGGGGTTCATGGGAGTTTTTCAACCGGCCAGACTTTGATGATGCGATGATCGATGGCGGCGCGAGCAGGACCTGGTTCATGGTCCTTTCGGCTGGTATGGGCGGATTAAGCGTGAACGAGACCTGCCATCTCAGATGAAATGATCTGGTTTATTGAGCTACCGGGAGAACTGGGTCTTATTTGAGGGTTTTTGCGGCTACTGTTTTTACTGACCACCTGGCGATGCTATGGATACCACGCGTTTGGGGGAGTAGGGTGTTCCGAAAGGACTGATTTACTGGGCCTTAGACCTCATTCGGGGTGAGATTTTAACGGGCTTTCTTGATTTATCAAGCTGTTGGGTTTCTCCATCTCATTCATCAGCTGTCACTCGATTGTGCAATGTTTATTACTCTGGCATGGAGGAAATTTTTGGAATGTGTTCCCGGAGATCCAGTATCCACAACAGATAATACATGAGGAGATTCCTCCCTGTGGGTAACGGCGAGTGAAACAAGCATGGCCTTGTGGGGGAGTCCAACTATACTGTACAGACTTTACTACCCCTTCCCCGGAATTAGCGCCCTGCTAGGGGTGTTCAATACTTACTTTGCGAGGTTGAGGTTTTTCGTTAGCGATATTAATAAGTGTGGCATCGCGTTTACCGGGGTCGTACCCTGGCCTCGTGTCGTCGATGCCGATAGTTCAAATGTGATGTTGAGTTTCTTGTCTGTGCTTCAGAGGGAATAGGTGGGGTGCCTGGTGATCGGTGTGCGAGGGATGCCGCCGAAAAGCTATGTCGTAACCCGCAACACTAGTGTTCAGCGGCAGTCAGCTCTGGGCCTTGCAAGAGGCGATAGTGGAGAGCTCACGGCGTCCGGAGATAACCTTGACTATAACAAACGGTAGCTGGGGATTCTGAAGCTGTTTGCTTCTTTGCTTGCTTGTTCCGTGAAGCTCTTGGGCGGTCCTGTGGCTGGTAGCAATGCTGCCAGAGGTTCCAATACTGGGAGAGCAGGTTTGGTGAGGTGGCTCCCTGGTTCTGCCGATATGGCATTATAGAACTAGTCGATTCCTCCGACTGCAAAAAAATACTGAAATAGAAAACCCTGTGTGATTGCCCATGATATTTCGCGAGTCCCGCAGTCTGGGGCCGTCTATGATTTATTAACCTTTGTAGAGTGGAGGGGTTTCACGAGCAGTAACTGGGTTTGTCGGGCATACCGAGGTGCTGATTGTGTCTGGTCGAGTTAGGTTGGGCCACCGCAGTAGTGATCCTTGAAATTGGGTTGGGTGGGTTGTCTAAGGTTAAGTTACGTCTGGCTAACTAAGTAAACCCAGCAAAAATGATGGAAGAGGAAAGCCAAGGTGTCCCAATACTAGGATTTAGATATGCTAACACGGAGGCGCCCGGTCACCAGTGTGTGGATAGAGCAGGGCGGTGATGGGTAACCGAGTATCATGAGTAGGAGTAATAGTGGGAGGGTAGTGAGAAGTTGTGCCGGGGGATTAGAGGAGTCGGAGGACGGTAGCGATGATGTTGGTGTTCATTGCGGTCATCTGAGGGCTGCTGAATGTTGATGGTGGACATTGAGTGGAATATAACGCATGGTGGGAGTTTATTTTTTTCTGCATTCGTAAGACTAAGAGGGGTTTGGTGCCTATTGGATTTCGTCGGTAATATCGTACACCAATGTGAGCATGCCCGTAGGTTCCGTTTTCCGGCATGGAATTCGGTTGACCAAATTGGCACCAGCCCGGCGTGTAGAGATTTGCGGAAAGATGTCAAGGTCTAGTCGGCAGATGAAATATGTACTAAGGCCATGGGAGGGGCAAAATCCTAGACCAGGGCCGGTGGTATTCTGGTAAACTTTTATATCTGAACTGGAATGGCGGAGCTTTATCCTCTCAGTGAGGCATCAAAGCTGTTAACGACCATTGTATTGGCTCCCCAAATTGCCTTGCCGATGGCTCATAATAAATATTGATAGTCCTTTACCTCCGAACCCCCGACGGTCTTTAATTCTCATATAGTACAGAGTCTCAACCTAGCTGTCCCTAAGTTCTGCTATACGGGACTTGCGGGAGAGGAATATTGGTAATCGTAGTCCGAGAGATCAACCTGTTCCTGATGGTCTTTTAGCAACAATGCTGAACCCTGGCCATCTCCTTAACATCGTTCCCTAACTTGCGCTGGTAACAACTCAAATTGAAGTAGATTTCCTTGTCATGCTCTTCTCCAATATTTCCTGATTCACTTAATCAGTGGCCGCTATCGGGATTATTCTCCATGTCGCGGAGGCCCTACTTGGGTAAGCTTGAACGCCCCAGGTGTCCCTTAAAGAGTGACTTACCATACGGTTGGTAATACAAGTAGCCAATTTAGAGAGTGGATCAAGTACCCGGGGCTCTGGAAATCCGGAGATCAGTGTTCCCAACCGTCGATTCCGCCCGTCTCTAGGGTAGGATGGGAAGGACCACTGGCTATAGTCCGTAATTTTGGGGGTACTAGGACATAGGAGCGTTGGGTTGCGTGCATGCCATCCGACCTTGTTGCATTCTAGTATCAGTTAGTGAATCATGCCAACCCCTAAACAGCTTCATTCCAAGCACTGCAGTTTTTAGTATATCAGATCGGCATACCGAAAGCGTGATAATTCGGAGGGGTTCCCGGCGATTTGGAGAAGCCGAAAGAGCAAATTTGGAATGAACTTTGGCATCGGCACCTCCAAAGGACTGAATGAGATGTTGGTCATTTGGTACTCATGTTGTGTTGCCCAATTCCTGTCCCTCCCAGGAGAGTGCTAGGAATTTCAGTGTGGGTTGACGGTTATCCCGGGTGGTTAACCTGGTACCAATAGTTTCGGTCGCATATCCTATCCTAAGTCTAGGATAGAACTATTTCAATTAAATACTTGGGGCAAGTTTACCGGTGCGCAAGAGATATCCCAACACATTGCGAGAGTTAACAGTTAAACTCCACGAAGGTTATGTCCCTTTGATGGCCAAGAGTAGGGGTAAGTTAAGCTGTGAAATACGCCACGCTCGAGAGCAATTTTTGGATATGCCTTTCCGAGGGACTTCTCAATCCGCTGCAGTGCCCTTTCCTGCACATTCCCACGGAGAGACCAGTAAACTGCCCACAGCCAATCTGAACCATTGATTCTTTTTGGGAGGGATTGCGGTTGGGGGCACCGACACTCATGTGGTATACAGGTGTTCGGTACTCTGACGGAGCAGCATCGACGGGCGGGGTGAGGTCTCCGTTGAGGATTATTTTGACAACGGCCGTGGCTGCGCTGTGGAATCGGAACGGAGGTATTGGTATCGGATTTAGGAAGGATGGGAATCCCACCCTCTCGCCATGCCCTGCTCTGGTACAGCGTTGGGTTATTCAACGTTATGACGCTATGGAGTGCCCGTCGTACCATTCGATGTTCTTGCGAAGGGACTACCTCTTTCAGCACCTGCGGAGGACCAGGAAGTGTTGGAACAGAGTGATGGAAGAATTTTTGCGAGTTTCTACTGGATTGTTGGTGTCGTGCGTTGGAGATGGATGGGTTGTTTGTTGGTGCACGGTGGATGGAGTGGTTGCGAGAGGGGTTTGCCCGTGGTAGTGATTTATTGATTTGTATGGGTTTCTTGGGGGTTGCTCTTGAAACCAGTTAGGTGTAAACCAAGATAATCTATTGAATTCCGGACAGAATTTATTGTCGCTAGCATCGCAATCGCTAAACTAGTATGCCCACCCCGGCCATATTCTTCATAGAAGTATCTCTAATGATAGCAACTGTTCGCTTAATTGTACTTATAGTATATGAACACAAGAACCAGTGTTCTGGAACAGAAAAGCTGAGACCTTGCACAGCCCAAGCGGGCAGTCCCCCATTGTCCCATGCGGCTCTCTATCCGTCATGATGGATATATACTTTGCTCCGTAGCGCCTGGTGTCCGACCCAAAGATGGCCATCCTGCCAAATTACTGCCCTAGACGGACTACAATGCGCCGTCTCGTCTGGTCCGGGGATCTTTGTAATCCCCCTCTAGGGCCCTGCGGGGGACTGGGGCGGTTGGGAACACTGAAAGTAAGGGGAGTGAGGAAGCAAGCTTGAAAAAAAAGGATTCAGTTCTAGAAAAGGATAGCACTAATCACCGAGGAGATGTACTAAGGGGGCCGGAAATTGGTGGCATATCGGCAAGTGATGGGGTATGAGATAGAGAGATGAGGAGGGATGAGAATGGTACTGGGCATGATAGGTTTTACGAAAAGATAGCACTGGTGTAGGGGTTAAGAAATGGCAATGAGAAGAGAATGCTTGAAAAAAGTAAGAATTGGGTAATTTAGAAAGGGGGAGGGGGAGCACGTGGATTTTGATTTTAAGGAAAGCTGTGGTGAGGAGGAAAGGTTTAACCACGAGATATTTAATATTTGCATTTATAAGGCTTGCCGTTTACCCACAAGCGGAGAGAATTAGTAGCTTAAAAGAAATAAAGATTCCGCGCACAGATATAAGAACCTCAAGTGCTAGTAACAGCACTAGAAAATGCTAGACAATGAAAGATTTTGTCTGGACAGCCAAAAGAGAAAGATGCGGGGGATGAAATCAAAGGTCTACCGTAAGAACTCGAACAATTGAACCTCGAGCTAGGACGTTGGGGTTACCTCTGCTGGTGTGGTGCGGTGTTTTTTTACTTTTTCTTTTTTCTTAAGCCGGGGCTCAAGGGGTCGGTTTTTGCTGTGCTCTCGGCCCCCTATCCAAGAGAGGGAATTCTGAACGTCCTAGCACTAGGTTCAATTATTCGAGCTCTTACGGTATCCGGTCAGAACTCGCATCTGAGCCCGCTGCAGGGAACGTTCGTGTTCGAAAGCGTATTAACGGTGAATATACTGCGTTCTATGACCTAAAGCCACCGTGGTAGTGAAGAGCACAGGAAATAGGTACATGAAACGGTAGCATTTATTCATGAACTGGCAAAACGCTGGCGAAAAACCTGCCAAGGTAAAGTCTGCCAAATGTGCACCACCAAGAGAACCACGAAGAGCAAACGGGGCTGCCGAGCATGGAATTTGTATCCCGCGACCACTCCTAACCAACCCGACGGTTTGGTGGTTGTCCGACCTGCTGTCGAAGTGAGGCTGGTAAATATGTGTAATTATTACGGAATAATACATGGAGCGTAGGCCTACATTTTCGTGGCCACGGCTGCCGCGGGTGGGCCCTTAGAGTGATTTTTCCTGCTCCGGCTCTTGCGGTGGACGGATATCTGAAGTCTGGTTAGTTAACTGTCATCAAGGAGATTAAACATGAATATACCGGCATCTTTGGAAATTTTACGGGTACGAGGGGTAAGACTCGACGCCGGGCCGGGAGGCAAAAACCCTCTAGTCCGTCCGTCTTTGGGGTAGGGCGGGACGGACTAAAGACTGTAGTCCATCTTTTTGGGGGTGCTAGGGCGGGCTACTCCTGGGACTGGTAGGACCGGACGGACTATCAAGGACCGTCTTACGGCCTGAAGTCCTATGAACAAAAGGACCTTGCCGGCCCCAATGTTTCCACCATATCTGAGGTTGTTTGTGGTATAAGGTGTTATCCCCCGCCGTGTTTTGTAGGGACGAAAGAGGTTCGAGTTGTTTTGTGAATACCTGATTAAACACTGTT